GGGGCGGCGGTCGAGGGGGGGGGCAGGTAGAAAGTTGTTTCAGCTCTACAACCATTAGATCGGTCAGGTTTGTTTGCAGATCTATTAGGATAAATTTGGCTTTTACAGAGAAATAGAGCATGTTCATTTATTCATCGTCTACAGCTCAGTCCTCTTCAGGCTGCAGGTGAGCGAGAGGCGGGCCCTTACGCCCTGGACAGTTCAGCTGTCCATCACAATCAATCATTCAAACTCAATTAAGAGAGCGTGGTTACCCTTATTCTGCATGTTTTGGACTCTGAGAAGAGCTCGACCACTTCATCACCACGTGACCTCCACATACAGTACGTCTTCTTAATGTCCAGAGCAGAGGTCAGAATGATTTAGAGTGTCCGCGGTGTCAGAAGGAAGAGGAGTTTACATTCGGGTGCATGTGAAATCTTTGACTCTTCTCAGTTATATTCCTTTTTGTTTTGATGATTGACAGAGACTAACGCAGCAGCTTTTACTGCTCTTAAGCAACAGAGTTCTTAAACAGTAGTAGGACCCAGATTTGTTTTAAGCGGTGTGCACAAATCAGTGTTATGTTGATATAACATTAGTTAATATTAATATATGTATAGTTTTTAGTGAGTCTAAAAAAAATAGTCATCAGAAATTTACACCTTATGCCTGAAGATGTAGAGCAGTACTGCCCTGAGTGTTTTTTTTATTTTTTTTATTTTTATGCTTTTGTAAATGTGATGTTAACAGCTTATAAGTTTATAATAAATCTCTGGCTGTGGCAGTATAAATATTTTTAGATGATTTGAAGTCAGAATATACAGCAGTGCGGTGTTGTTTATGTACCGAGGAAGGAGGATGAGGAGGTTTATCTTGTGAGCCTGTGAAACCTGAATATTATATCTGTTCTGTGCGTTTGGTTTTCTTTTCCTGCTTGAAAAAGTTTAAAATTTGTCACATTTCAAAATTGTTTGAAGACATTTTTAAAGTTTAAAATTTGTCACATTTCAAAAACTACTAATGTTGTCAGCAAGACTATAGGTTTAAACTGCGTTTATAGCACACCCTGGAGGCAAAGTTTGTAAGCTACAGGTTGTTTATTTATAGAAAGTCAATTCCTACAAATTGAATTTTAATCATACAAAATTTCTAGCCAACACACACACACACTGTCATGGCCATGAAACACTAGTGGCTGTGTGTAGTTGTGTATAGTCCTTGCTCTTGGCTCTCTATCCATCACCAGAGGTTCAAAGATCGGAGCAGCGAGTGTAAAAAAACAAAAAAAAAACACTAGTAATGACTTCCCCTTATTTGTCATAATAATGAGTGCTTGTCCATGTGAGGTTCTGCTGCTCTGCTTCAGTTTTTTAGTGCACTTTAAATGTTTTACTGACAAGTACAAACTACTAGCATTAGCAACAACCAGGCCCCACCACATCCTCACACATGTCACAGCTTCATGTGGCCACAAGCATGACCACAGTCTACTTACCCAGGATGTGCTGTGAATGTTGTAAAGCTCAGGATGAGAATCATGGATAGTGGATCCCCCGACACAGGAAACTAGATGAGGAGGAAAGAAATTAAATGCATATTAGCATAGCATAGTATCAGTAAAGTCCAAGAAAAAGCCCTTCAAAAGTGAAAGTGAAAAAAAAACAGGCAAATAAAAACACACTGGTTCTTTGGTCCAATAACATTCAGATTAGTTTTAATTATTGTACGTAGAAGGTGGTTTGTGGCCCTGTGATAGACCCAGCAACTGTCATGTGTGTACCACGCCCCCTACATTTGACTGCTGGGATTGTGTCAAATCAAGTGACTGTTCAAGAGCTTTAAAATAAATCCATAGAAGATAACTAAAAGAACAACATTTCATTAGCATTCTGAAGGTTCCAGCTTCCAACAAAGCAAAAATGTTAAAAGTTACATGTGATGCAGATGACGTCTTGACTAACGTTTGTTGTCTCTCTCTCTCCTGCAGAAAAAGCTGACGGCTGAATGTGTGTTCAGGGAGCAGTTTGAGGAGAACTGGTACAACACCTACGCTTCCACGCTGTACAAGCACACAGACACGGGGCGCTTCTACTACGTGGCCTTAAATAAGGACGGCTCGCCCCGAGAGGGCGGCAGGACTAAAAAACACCAGAAACTCACACACTTCTTGCCCAGGCCTGTGGAGATCGAAAAGATCCCTCCGGCGTACAGAGACCTGTTTCAGTACAGGTGACCATCACTGACAACTGGCGCGCCGGTTACACCAGGAGGAACAGAAAGTGTAGAAGAGGAGACAGAGGGTGTCACTAAAACCTCAAGCCTGGAGGAGAACTGGTCACCCTCACCTCCCACTGAGGTCACTGGGTTCACACCTCAGCCCACTACCAAACAGGGACGGCACTGACATGGACATTGTGCCCATTTCCTGGACGATCGATTCCTTGCTTCTGTAGGTAAAGTTGCCTTGTATAACCACTACGGACATGGACGGCAGAGGAGGCCCGGGTGACTGGTCCGTCGGGTGCCTCGCCTTTTAAATAACCACTTTTTTTTTTGAGATTTGGAGGTAAAAAAAATTGCATAGATGCTGACATGTGACGACAATTGTAGTAGCACTAAACTGGTGGAACCTGAGCAGAGAGGGAAGAAGGCTATCAAGTAGCCCCAAAGGAAACGAAAAGCACTGCAGATGACACGTGGCGTTTATGTCATGCACTACAAACAGCCATGGTCTTCATGCATGAGCGGGCACATTCCTCACACGCAGACAGAGAGGGAAGAAAGAACGGAAAAGGTCAGGAATATCCAGGGTGATGGCAGGTACGACGGAGCGAGTTCCTCCGCTGAGGAAGTGACTCAGAGGAGTTTTATGAACTTGTCCTCAGACTCAAAGATGAAAGCGGGGGATGTAAAACCTCTGATGAATGAGTGATAGATGAAAGAGCACTTACTGCACATCCTCAGTCCCAGCTGCGGACTCGTCTGCTCTCCCATGTACTCATCAGCCTAATGATCACACTCACCACTTTAGAATGAAATATCGAGCAACATCTTGTCGGAGCTGTGTGCAAAACAAGTGATTAAGCTGTGGACGAGAGCACTTCTCTGACCGCAGTTGTTAAGAGTGAGACGATGGCGACTTGTAATGTTCAGAGTGTCAGGAACATTATTAAAAATGCAAGCAGCTGAGGTGTACATATGGGTGATCCTATTTAAGAGATGTACAATATATTTATTTTCTACATATAAAGTATAAATATAAATCTATATATTTATTTATTGCAAAGACTTTATTTTGTAATTGAGTTGAAGTTATCTGGACTGTAGATTCTACTGAAATTACACCAAAAAAAAGCAAACCAAAAAACGGCTGCCATAAAATGACAATAAAATTGTCCTGCTATGGAGAACTCCTTGTGACCGCCTTTTTTTTTTTTTTTTTTTTTTTGATTGGATTACGATCTGACATATTAAAAACAGACGTAGGTATCTACCACTAGGTGGACGTCTCTTTTCTCTGAGTTTTCGGTGGTGCTTTTCTGAGAAGAGCAACGTGGTTGGTCCTCACACGAGGACTGAAATATCTCAACAACTGTTGGGAAGGATTGTCACGGCATATCACACAGATATTAACAGTCCTCAGAGGATGGATTCTGCTCCTGGTGGCGTTCCTCTGACTTCTTCTACACAGCCACCACCATGTTATTTTCATGTTGGCACTATTCCTACTTTTCACTTCATGATCAACAGATTTGGGGCAAATACCTGCTTCTCTTTGTTTTCATTATTCAGCTTTGTCTCATCAGATTTGCTTGGGTTTTTTTTTTCAGAGAACATGGGTGTTAATCTAAGGGGCTAAATTGAACTGCATATATTTAGCTTTGAGTAAACTACAAGTAAAAGCATTGACAGATAAGACATAGAATGACTTTGCAAATGATAATTAGGTATAACTACCAATTCAAGCAGAAATTAACTTAGCCATTGTAGTTGAAAGATAAGATCAGGTATAGAAAAGTATAGAAAAACATTCATGGGTTTAATCAGAGGAATTTTAGCCAAAATAGCATATTTACAGAAAAGTATAGAAAAACATGGAATTTTAGGAATTTTAGCCAAAATAGCATATTTAACAAAACTAACTGAATTATTTATTTTTTTAAGGTAAGTAGCTATTGTGTTAAGCCATAAGTCAGTGATTCTACCTCTCGCAGAATGGCAACAAATCAGCTAAATAAAAATAAATATTAAAAAGTTTAAATAAATAGTTTAAATAAATATTAAAGTTTAAAGAAATATCGCTAAAAAATAGTTAAGAAAAAAGTTAATAAAAATGCCAATAAATCAGCTCAATAAAAATAAATATTTAAAGAAATATCGCTAAAAAAATAGTTAAGAAAAAAGTTAATAATATTTCAGAAAGGTAAGTCCAATGGTAAAAAAAAAAGCATCCAAATAATACATAAATTAACAATAAATTAATAATGATAATTAATCATTTTACTTGGAGATAATTGAAAATAAAAAATAATAATAATAAAGAAGTTTTGAGCCCATCTAAATGCCAGGATCAGCCGTGGGGACAACCATTGGACACGCCTGTGATAGAACAACTGTACCATCTCATTTTCCCTCACGTAGTCTTTGTGAAGTAATGTGCAGATGCCTCTCTGTAACCATGAGGTCTTATTCAGCCTAAGTCTACCGTACAAAATCAGATTCCTTATGCAACTGGATCCCGACTCCTAATTGGCTTTACACATCGGTGTGGATTTAGAGCAGTGATTGGTTGTTCACGGCAGGGGCCTCACAGTCTCCACGCCGCAGCACCATAGGCCGCCGTGGCTCCGCTCAACGGACAGAAACAGCTGCCCGCCGCACAGAGGAGCAACGTGGATGTGCTGCAAACGTGGAGTGGTGGTAATCTGGGGCTAAGAGGGGATGGGATCAACATTTCAACATCTGCAATAGTTGTAATGTTTCTCCACTGGCAGATATCTGTAAGCTGTGAGAGCAAGCTCCCCTGGGGGGAGGGAATGGAAAAGTCAAAGACATGCAGGGGAAAACCCTGGCAGACTGAGAAATGAAAACAATACTGGGACAGAGAAAAATAGATGAAAGATTGAAGGGAGACCAGAGTGGGCCAAGGGCACTTAGTGAGGAGGGTGTGAAACACTGGGACAGTGCATCAGGACGAATCAGTTGGCTGCGCTCCAGGAAGTGAAGAGCAGGTCTAAATTTGGGAATTTATTTGCCTTCCTGCCAAGATGAGAAGATACATTCTGTTCTCATATCTGTACGTTCAACATCAGGCTGGAGACACATGAGCAGAAGTCTGTCTTGACTGGAGCCTTAGTTCAAATCATTTACAGTTAAAACCGAATCACTGAAATTGCATTTAAATCCTCAGAGCTAAAAGTAGCAAATGAGAAAAATGTACTAGCATTAAATGTATTAAATTTAATGCATTCAGTTTCTAGTTTTTAAACTTAGTCCCAACCAGGCTGGATCCGGGCCACACTAAGAAAATACATTTAAAAATATACAACATAGTGGTAAGGTTATAAATAGGAAGTCATGGAGCGTGAGAGGGTAAATTTCTGAGAATAAACCTATGTAATTAGTGGAATAAAATCGTAGATAATCAACTCTTATAATGGAAAACAGCTGTAAAATTTACATAACTAACCTCCATAAATTATAAGTACATTCATGAGAACAAAGTCCCAATATAATGAATAATAGTCGTTAATTTATAACAAAACTGTTTTAGTATCTTGAGAAAGAGGTGGTTGTTAAGAGGGAATAAATTTACTCTGATTTCTACTTTCCCCATTTTTCTTTCCTAATATTACAATTTTATTTTTTATAAACTTGTAATTAAATTAACCTTTTCCTTGTAATATTAAGACTAACAATAAACAATAACAGTTTAAGCTACAAGAAGTTGGAAGTTAGCTTAGCCTAGCATTGATCAGAGGACAGAACCTCTGCTTAAGCCTAAAATATCACAAACTCACGTTTACATTTCATATTAAATTTAACCTAATTGCAATTACACATATCTCAAGTCTAAATTAGGAAAAAAAAGGTTTTCTTTAAAGAACTTTGGACTACTTTGTACTGGCCACAGCTCTTGGCTAAGCATGTAGCCGGCAACATTTAAGGCAAAATACTTACTACATTTCATTCTAAAATTCAATAATAGCAAATGTAAATAAATATATAAAACATAAAAAATACTTTTAGTATTGCTTATTATGTACACTCACCTGAAAATATCAGTCAGTTCTTTAAAAAGCCCCATATTAGCCTTTGTAGTTTTTCATCAGGATCTTGTTTCTCTTTAATGGCAGCCATGTTGGATTAGCTTGTCTTCGGACTTCACCACCAACAACCACAATTTGTAACATCACGACTAGATGCTGATTAACACATACTTCAACTTTATATTTGACAATCACAAATTAAAATAATAAATAATAAAAAAAGAGGTTTCATAAAATATTTTTGAGTTCAGGTTAATTACAATATAAACAATATTAATAGGTGTTTATGTAAATTCTTTAATTTAATTTTTATGACAATTTTATTTTTCCACAAGTCCTCCAAGATTCTGTCAATTCAATTTGTTTTTGTATGTTTTGTTCAGTGAATTATTTTCCCCAAGATAGACACAATTTTAACTAATTATTTTTAAAATCTAATTTTTAAAAAAATATTTTTATTCATATACTAAATAAGGAAGAAATAAAGGCAAAAACTATCTCAACATTTTCTTTTCTTTCACACTTGGACATCAATGGACATTGGCAACAAAACAAACGGCAAAACAACCGCCGCCTGGCCTCAGATCTGTAACAGTACAGGTGTGTAATAAAAGAAACATTCCCAACATTCCCCTCCATGACCTCAGCTGCAAGAATGTAGAGCTCTGAAGAAATAAGTCAAACACTGGAGGTGCCCATCCTTTTGGTCACTTTATTAAATGTTATATTAAATACTTATCAAGATAATAGCAGATCAAACTCATGGCAAATCAAGTTGGTGTATTTGCTAACATAAGAACATTCTTAGAAGAGGGCAAAAAAGGGTTTTTTTTTGTTTTTTTTCCTACACGTATGAAATACACCTTGTGCAAACACAGGAACCGACTAGAGACAAAAGGCGTCTCTCGAATGAGAAATGTACATATTCCTCATGGTTAACAGCTACACCAGTTGAAGTATTTAGAAGCAAGAATGTGCCAAAGTAGAACACAGGTAGTCTGGGTGAGACTACAGTGTCCAGTTTCTCCTCACAGAGCCGAAAACACAAATCAGCCAGGTATAATAAGATTTCCAGTCCTTACGTCTTCCTGTCAAGTCCAACCTGAAAAAGACATTTCAGAGCGCGACAGCAGAGTAAAAGGGAAACTTTTTTGGGCCCTGTCATGATACATGGCTGCAGCGGTTTTTCGCTCTGTGAGACCCAGTCAATCACCCGAGTCTGGGACCAACACAGGTGGAACATAAACAATGGACAGGATGCACAGTGCTATGCTAGACAACACATGACGATGAGAGTGATGTCATGAGAGGGTCGCAGGAACCCACAGGCAGTTTTTGAACAACACAAGCATTCCATTTACATGTTCAGTGACGACATTTATCATTAAAAGCATAATAGAAAAAGTTCTAAAATCTCAGAACTTTACAGAGATTTAAAAAAAAAAAAAAAATCAAATATAAGGCCGATGTTACATTTTTTTTCTCCCTCAATAATTTCCTTCACTACTCAGTGTATTTTGTCTCCTAAAAAGAGCAGGATTTCGCAGCACCAACAGATGTTGGTGGTAAAAATCTACCGTTGCTGCTGATAATAATAATCATGTAGCTAAAACATAGAGGCCTGTCACCAACAATGGTCCCACTCCTGTTTAGTTAGACAATTTAAACAGTATAAAAAGCTTGTTTTAAATTATAAGGGAAACCTCTGAAGGGAAGGAACAAAGTAATGCTTAAGAGCATTTGGGGTAAAACTGTCTTTAAATACATGAAAACTGAAGATATAGAACTTGAATAACATTAAGGCGGTATATACATTTATTTTACGGCTGAATGTCCTAACAGATCTTTCACACACTCATGTACATTAAACTCGATCCTCCCGCTGAACTACAGAGTTAAAGACATAGTATATCCCACTTAAAGTTCTGGTGGACAGCAGTCTAACGTCCAAACTTCTCCACCTTTTCCCCCGTGCACTGGTCTGCTTTGAGCTCCCAGATGCCACGCATTGTGTTTGTTATGGGGGTCACACTCAGACTGTGCCACTGGGAGCTGGACTGCTAAGGAGGGAGGAAGAGGAAAGAGGAAGAACGGGGGTGAGGGGGTGACTGAGAAGTAATCTCTCTGACCTACAGGCCTTTGGAAGGCCCGGGATTCTTGCCCATGCCCTGACGAGGGCCCATGCCGTGGAACTGCTGGTACAGCCCCAGGAGGTCCATCTGGCTGAGTCCACCACCTCCCATCATGCCGTTCTGCATGGCTAGCTGGTTCAGGTAGCTGGCCTGGTTGGCTATGGCCAGCTGCTGTTCCTGCACCTTCCTGTTGGTGATTAGCTTCTGCACGAACATCATCAGCTGTTAAGAAACAAACAAAAACAGTTGTGTTAAGCGGCTGCACATTTTTATTGAAAACAAATACAAATGTTGGCAACAGGATTCAACTAGTCAACACTATATTACTGAACCAAAACCGTGAAGAAAATAAAAGTGTCCACGGCTTCTGTTAACTGTTTTGTTAACGTTTTTAAATGTGGTCCAGATTTTTTAAAACATATTTATACATATATAGAGCCTTTTAATTACATTCACTTTTTTGCAGATGTCATGATAGAAATGTTAGACTTTGACTGGTTTAAATCAAAAGCTTATTTATCACAGAAAGACATAAAAAAAAAATCAACAGTGGTTTGGTTGGAAAGTGGTTATTGTTTTGTTGAATTTACATCCCACTGTGTCACAGCAGTTAGAGCCTTACAGCATGATCATGAGTTTGCACATTCTTAAAATGTGTGTGTGTGTGTGTGTGTGTTTCTTCCCACCTCCAGAAACATGCAGGATTAGGTTAACTGTAAATGTTTGTTTGCCTCTACATGTGCCGGCTGCTGTGATTGGCTCCTGCCTCCCTCCTCCTCCCATCAACAGGAGGGAGCTGAATGACTGACGCCTCGACTGCCCTGAGTGTTCTTACCGTCTGATGGTTGGTGAGAACGTCTCTGTACACCGCCTCCCTGCGCTTGATCTCCAGCTCGACCGTGGCCTGTCGGGCCAGAGACATGGACTGGACCTGATTCTCGGTGAGTGCCGGGTTCTCCTCCCACTGTGGAAGACAAAAACGAAACTTTAAGTTTAAACTAAATCTCCTCCAACAGTCCAACTGGTGTCGGCTTAAAACATAACTGATGTAAACACCGTGTTACTACTTTATGTCACACTTACCAATTTACCAATGGTGTCCTCCAGTGACTCCCGCTGTAACGACTTCAACGAATTTGTCGCTTCGATGACTTTCTGTCGTCCCTGGTTTATGAGCTCCTGAAGGAGAATAAATAACAGATGGATTCAGGAGCAGTCGGAGGAGTAAGTGTTTGATGGCTGCGCAGGTTTATTTCATGGGAAAAAGACAAAAAAAGGTTGTTTCTGTAACACTCCTCAATGAGCATGTGGAGTGGTTAGAGGTCTGGACATCAGGACTGGAGCCTTACTGTGGCTCTCAGAAGGCACCGTCCTGCCTGCAGTGCAGATTCATGTCCCACTGAGAAGCCTGGAGCATTAGACCATGGACAATAATCAGACAGCGACCCAAAGACTAATCCAAAGGTTTTAAAGGGGTAAACGTGCCTTTGACCCAAAGTTACAATTCAGTCGAGCTGATTGGTCGGTTGCTCAAATGTTTATATCGATAATCCGGTTTGAAAATGAGTTACTCTACGAGTTTGTTCTTGTGTCTTTTAAAGAAGGACCCCTCCCATTTTTTATTAAAAACATTTGCAGCCTCTTGGACTCCGTCCTTTTGTCTCTCAGTCAAATGTGACACGATGTATAAATAGCCGCTGTCCCAGACATGCAGTATAACAAACTGTTGGACAGTGGAGCGGAGCAGACTGGGACTGTTGGCTAGAAGGACTTTTGTCACAATTAGCAGAGGGGTCTGAGGAATGTGGGGCACCATGCCGTGGGGGGAGGAGAGGGAGGAATGTGAGGCAGGAGAGGGGCATGTGGAGCTCATTACTTACCTCCAGCTGCTGGTTGGACAGTGAAGCCAGAGCTGCCACGTTGTAGTTCATGTAGCTGGAGGTGCCCATGTCCATGTGGGGGTACGCCGTCTGGTAGTTGTTCCTCATGGAAAGACCCTGGCAGATGAAAGACAGGTAGAGTCAGAGAAGGGAGTCAGAAGCCCCCCCCCCACATAACAAACACTCAGAGAGAACCAACATCAACCCAGGCAGGTGTTCAAAGCATGCAGGGTGGGACAGGGGACAGGGTAAATATTTTTTCGTCTTTGGACCAGAGTCACACCACGACTGCTCCTGCTCTTCAGTTGGTGTTCGGTCAGGAAACCAGACAATGAAGTTTTCAACACCTTCAACTCCTCTATTTAATTCAGTCAGACAACCGCTGCTCTGACTGTAAAATGTGTGTCTGTGTAAGACAGTGAACGAGCTACAGAGCAGTGACCCGTCTGTCCTGTGTCGGTGAAGGCCACAGGACGCCAATGTTTGCGTGTAATTGAACCTCTGCTGCAGATGGCTTCTCTCTGCCTTGTAATCTTGCCATCCGGTATGTAAAAGTGCATACGTGTGTCGTGTTCTTTGGACGCGTTCATTGACAGGTGTGCAGGACTAAACAGTCAAAATCCGACTGCAGCCCCGTCACCACAGCAAATATAAACACTCACCAAACACACTTTCCCATTTTTTGGATCCATCTTTTACACGCGGCTACCATCAGGGTTGTGTTCACACTTCTTATGTTTGGTTCCTTTATAACAAACCCTGGTGCAATTTGCTACTTCCATGCCGTTCACGGTGTGTGTGTGTGTGTGTCACTGCTAGCACAGGTGTGGACTCTGGTAGTGTGACTAATGTGTCACAGGATGAAACCAAATTGCATATAAAAAAATGCATGTTCCCATTGATGTCTGATTTTGCGGGGGGGAAAAATAGTGTCTTAGTATCTACCAGGGAGAGCTGGTCGAGTATAAATAATTAAAACAAGAAAAATATACATATAAATATATTTCTATTATATATAGTACTGACCATATATTTTTACAATTGAATAAGATTGTGCCATAGAGCTATATGCAATTTATCAGTACACAAATATATGTATACATACATATGTTTGGTTTTTAATGAGTAAATATATATTCAATATATTTTGTGCAGCACAAAATGGAAATATGAAAAACTAAGGATTCACAAGTAGAACAAACAGAAAACTCAAAGACTCCCTGACCTACATACTGTCAGTAAGTGGTGCTGATTCTTCCGGGATAAACTCAGTTATGTGTAAGGAAGATCTCTGGCCTGATGGTGGGCCAAAACGGCCATGGCTGGAGTAAAGGGAGGTCCTGTCGTCTGCTTACTTTAAGTGATGAAAGGATTAAACAGATCCAACACTAACTCGCACAGGCTGTCAAACAAAAGTGGGGCCTTTGCTCGGCTCACCTTTGATGTCATCGAGTTGGAGAACGATGGACATGGGAGATAAATGCTATATGTGTGCCTTTGATTTTTAAGGAGGGTTGAGGTGGGGGGGGGCAGGCAGGGAGTCTGTCTCACCTTTTTCTCTGCTTCGTACTCGGCCCAGGCTGCCTTGCGATCCTCCTCGCTCAGGGCTTCCTCCTCTTTGTGGTCCAGCAGGGAGTCGTGTTCGTGGTAACAAACAATCTGGTCCTTATTGTTCTGCAGCATCTCAGCCAGGAAAGGATCCTACATCAAGGTAGACGTCAAAAAGATGAAAAGGGTCGAGATGCCTTTAAATACATCACTGTAGGAGAGGCAGAATTGAATAAAGGCCACACTAACCTTTCTAAGTAAAGAGTATGATCACAAGTCCTGATTCTGGCTTGTAAAGATTGGAATCAGATTGCTTTTATCAGCTGTTATTAATTAAAAAAGACTTAACGTAGTCTGCAAAGCATGCAGCATGAGCAGAGGTAGATCTTTAGTGGATTAAAACAATGTGTCTCCTGTGTCCTCCCCCCTCTGACTCCCGCTCTCGGTATCACTGGGTTGAAATCTAGCTTAAATCTATAACCGAAAGAAAACTTTTTTTTGCAGCTAAATGCGTCCTCAAAAGAACATTAATATTCATAATTATAGGGCTTTGAAAATGCTTCTTTTTTTTTCAATCATTCTTCAATGATCACATGTGCAGCGTTGGCAAGAAGGAGAAGAGGAAGGTTGAACAAACATCAGCGAATTGAAAGCAACCTCACACTTGCATGAAAGTTTTCATTAAAAGAGCGTGTAGCAAACAAATAAAGCAAATATAAATAAAATAAACGAATAAAGGAGGGGTTTTGGAAGGGGCACGGCGGTCTGGTTTCCAAGACTACATCCTTGTTATTGAAAACAATACCTGAATAAAATTAAGTGCTCGGCCAGACTTCAGTCACACAAACGTGGTTTGAATTACTCCGTGCTGCATGTTTGCTTTTCTTTGTCTTGGACTTAGCTTTACATTTAACTGAAACTTGGGGATAAAGAATGATTTTTTCTTTTTCTTTTTTTTTAAATGATACAGAAAAGTATCACCAATAAACAAATGGACCGATTTGAATGGGTTCAATGAGTGTCAAGTTGTTAACAAATTAATCAGAGATGCCAATGGTGTTAAAGGGAGAAAAAAAAACAACCAAAACAACGCCATTAAATTCAGCAGTGATTGCAAACCTGTACCGAATAAACTGAAAATAAACACCAGGCCACAAGGAGGGAAACCAGATCCTTGAACGAGGGGGAGAAGAAACAAAACTACAGAACTGTATTTGGATTTTTACAAATATCCATAGAGTAAAACCCCTGAAGGTGATCTGGAGGTGCCGATGAATCAGTGTGAACCTGGGACAGAAAGGCCAAAAATATGTTTCCTTGACCGATTTCTTTATAAATAATACCGCACCTTGTTATTCCAAATAAGTGTCCCTCCAACCTGTTCTCACAGCAGAGGTTGAAGAACTCCATTAGCATCAGTTGTTAAGGTAAGAGAAGCTCCTCGGCGTGCTGCGACTCACTGACACATGTTTATGTTCCTCAGCCATCAGCATCAATCAGGACAAAAACAGGCCACCTCTGAATCACCAGACATTTCAGAGCAGAACCACAGTCGGCACTTTAGACGCTCCTTTCCCTCGTTAGTTAGAACATAAAAGCACAAGTGGTTCTAATACTAAGACAGAGATACAATCTTGATCTTAAAAATACCTGCATGATTTTTCTTTTTCTTGCAAGGAGTGTTCATTTTCCCCAACATATAAATGTAGTCCATATACAGTATGTGCTTGTGTGTGTTTTTTTTCTCCAGGTACTTCCATAACATCCAAAATGTGCACTATTATTATTAGTTTTTCAGTCTGAATTGACCCAGTGTTTAATTGAGCCTGATTGGCCGTGACTATATGTGGCCCAGTGATGGAGTGGGATTGGACCAATCCTCCGAAGATTTTCAAAAGAATTGAGAAGTATAAGGTCGCTACACTAACAACACATCTCTCTCCAGTGAAATGAATGAATATCACTTCTGATAGCACAATCACTTCAAGCCACAGCGAGAGGAAATATAATAAAGCTGAGTCACTATTATCTCCACAGTCTTTGGTAATCCCCAACAGACACAACAGTGCAAATGAGGCCCAGGGCTCGGTGAGTCGCTGTAACTACCATTAGTGAACTCTACCTGAGACACGACAAGTTCGGGCAGGTTCCTGAAAGCTGGCAAAATCATTCTGGGAAGTGTGAGACACCTTTTATCAAAGTGTCTGGTTTAGACCACAGCACAGCTTTCAAAAAAAAAAAAAAAAAGAAGTTCACAGTAGTCATTCCTGATGGATGGATGACACAAAATATTTAGTAAAAAGGGGATTTTATTTAAATTTAAGGTAAATAGTTGACAAACCTTTCCTGGAGTGTCCTTTTAAAATATATATATTTTTTAATGTTTTATACTATATTATAAATTAATTAATAGATACTAGTATGTACAGGGTTTTGTGGCAGTGACAGACAAGTAATTGCCCCCTCCTTTCTTAAAGCTTAAAAAGGTCTATTTTCTAGAATTTGTAACCAGAGAAACACACTGATCAACCACACAGATCCTGTCGTGGATCAATAATAGCACTAAAACACTAAGTCTTAAGTCACTAATCTACCTACAAAGTTAAATCGATACTGGAAAGTTGATGGGAAAATTTTATTTGCTGATGGTTTCAATTGGGACACTGCAGACTACGAGCAAAACGGCGATGTGCGTCAATACTGCCGTTTAAAAACAACGTGACGACAGAGGTTGAGCTGCATCCCTTCGAATTGACTCACTGAACAGAGAAGCTGAGAGGAGGCGAGAATTTCCAGCATAATTGAACATTTTTTTCCCTCCTTTTCCCTCCATTTCACATTACTTGAAAAATGATCATTTTCCAGGTTTTCCAGGAGGACATGGTGATACTAGTATCTTATTTTCCCCCTATTTTCACTGTACAGAGTAAGTACTCACACAATATTTCAATGTCCTCTATTGTACTTTCTGTGGGGGCCTCGGGCCCCCCACTTTGAGATCCACTGAATTACATAGTGTGATGTTTACTGCTCTGTTATGTTCCCGTCTCTATGGATGTTTAAGTGCAGTCTCCACAAAACCCGGCACTGTACCTCAGAGGCTAATGAACACAGCGGTTGTCACCTGCTGAGAGCACGTACTTTAAGACGCAGCCACAGTCTGACCTGCAGTGAACTTCGGAAACAATTGTGGTAAAAATAAAACAAAACATACAATTGTTAGAAAAAAAACAAGCAGGAATCTTTTAGTGTATATCACTGGTCAATTGACGATAAGCGATAAGATAATGCGATGACCAGGAAATAGAAAATGGCAGATGGGGAGTCAAAAATCTCATGTCTGGGTCGCGAAGACCTTCTTTGTCATTAGAGGGAAGTTCGCCTTCTTCCTTTGTCTCCAATTAGTTTCTCTGAAGAGCAGGGAGACATCTTTAAGAGAGGGGTTTAAATAATGACCCTTCATCACGCACAGGAGGCCAGAGGGAGGAAAATGAAAAACAACTTTACTCTGTTTGCTTTGAACATTAGGAGGCAGAGTGTAGGAGACCGGGCAACAGATGGCAGTGGAGATGACTGCGAGAAGACGGGGCAGTCACTGTGGATGGGAGAAGAGAGTACAGACACCGCCGGGACAAATGTGGGTGGGGTCGAAGACGTAAACAGGTACAGAACAAGAAAAAAAAAAGTTAGCACTGAAGTGCAGTTCGGTGTTTCTCCACTGGGAAACAGAGAATTTCACACATACGATAAGATGTTGCACATCAGTCAGGCTTTTCCTGCATAGCTATTTAATCAAATTAGCACACCATTCTCCAGCAGGTGGCAGTAGTTTGTGATGAGATTCCTAGCATTTATATGAAAGAATGATTTCCATACACATACAAAAATCAACAAGAGGGGCTAGTGACAGATTTTGAGTGGTATCTGACTCTGACGCAAATCACCACCAAATACTCAAGCTACTTTTTTTTGTTTTTTACAGATGAAAGTTTCCCCTTCTTTATTAAAAACGTTGCTGTTAACTGCTAGCATCTTTGCTCTACATTTGCTTTGTCGGAGTGCGCAAGAGGTGACGCGTGTTTTATGTTTATATTTTGAATATACTTGTTATATTTTTCATCTATATCATGTGCAAAAATATATCGGGAAAACTCAATATCGTCTAGCCGTAGCATTTTATAGTGTGAATCCAACATCATCCTCTCTTTTTATGCAATGCGCTGTTGGCTGCAGGGGATAGATGGCATCTGACTCATCATCACATCATTCCAGACAGTAAATTCCTTCCATAATACTGTAGCTCTGCTGCCACGTCACAGTTATCCCCCACCTCCTGCCAAAACAGGTGTTAAGGAACTTGTCATCCCGTGTCTTTGATACGGTGTCAGATAAATGTCGCTGGTCACATTCAAACTCAACTGGACGCAGCTCAGTGAACACTTCTTTCCTATTCCTATCGTATCCAACTGCTTTCCCTTCACAGGCCACTCCTGCCTCGGAGCCGTATGGAAGGTGAGCGTAATGATGGCAGCCGCTGCCTCACTACGTTCGCTCAGCGCTCCCACGCTTAAATACCCATGACGGTAATTGTGATAAAGATAAAGATCACTCTGACAGTGCAAATGAATAACAGATTTTCCATTCTGTATCAGCGGCCTGCCTCTTGAATGTCTAGTGAAGTAGGCCATAGGATATACAGCGTTCCTTTTATCCATTCTGTTTACAGATTTCTGCATAGTAACCCAGGTCAAACCAAAACAAAGAGGTAAAACCACTTAGGGTGATCTGTGTAAACCTCAAGGCTGCAAAAAAGGGAGGAAGGAGCAGGACAGGATGGAAGTTTTTCCTAGATCAGCGAAGAAGCACGAGGCGGCAAGGAATGAATAAAAATGGGGGGAAAAAAATATGGAGGTTTACAAGAGGCCAACAGCAATGTTGCAATAAGAAGACTATTTAGTAAATAGCAGTAAACAGATACATCAGTGCAGCTGTGTGAGTTGGATGGCCCATGTAAGGGCTGCATTCCCCCTTTTAAACCCCAGGGGGTCTGAATAGTGACACTGCACCTGCACAGAGAGGACGGGGAGGGGGGAAGAGGGGGGCGAGATTATGAAGGAACAGAAAGATCCAGGAAAGGCCAAGCAGGACACAAGCTGGCAACGTGTGTGAATAACACTTCACCTACAAAGTGCTAACTTCAAAAGAAAGAACAACCTACTTGGTGCAATTTTGAAGGGGGCGGGGGGGAAACAAGGCTAGCATTTAACAGGGAATTTGTGCCATATACATAGAAGGCTAAAAAAAGAAGACTGTTTTACTACCGTTAATAGGTTTCAGCTTGTCTTTTTTAACAAAACAGTCAGAATCCGAGGCTGGGAATGTTCTAAGAATAATCACATTTCTTTAACACTCCTATCAAATCAACCGCATGTTCCTTTTCCAAATTAAAAAATTCGGCTCACTCGTTGTTGTGGATGCACACGTGCATTTTTTTTTTACCTTAGGGAGCATGGGCGTGGCCTTCTTGCTTTTCTTCTCGGATGGATCGTCCAGCAGGTCGGGCTCAAAGTTGTAGAGCTCAGTTAGCTCGTTCATGGTAAAGTGCCTTTCTATCTGCTGCTGGTCCACCACCCGATATGACAAGGACTGCTTGGTCACCTGCCTTTCATAAATCTTCTCCTCCATTGTACCCTGAAAGAAAGACATTCACATAAATAACAGAAAAATGCCACCAAACAACCTTCTGTATGTCCCTTCATCTGGGGTCAGAATCCCAAACCTTCTAGTGGTAGGTGGGAGTCCTACCACTGTCCCAAACAACAGCTACTAAATTCAACTACAGAAACATAGTGTTAATTAACATTACTAAAAATATATTAACAAAAAGAAACTAGAAAAAACAGCTATTGTTACAGTCAAATACAAATATGACAGGAAGTGTTTGAGCTGCCTGTGAATAATTTCCAATAATAAATAAAAGTAGAAAAAGCTATTAAAATGGAGAGCCGTGTAGTGATTTATCTTGTATTTTCTACTAAATGAAAATGTAAGTTACTGGCCAACTCTGATCAACATGAATTGGAATTGGCTACAGAATAGATGGATGGAAGAAAACCTAATCAGGGCAACAATTACATTGATGTGCAAATAGATGGATGGAGAAAACCTGATCAGGGCAACAATTACATTGATGTGCATTTGAAATTGTTTTTGTTTACAGAATTTCTCCACCAGGAGGCACATGTTTAATTTTTTTACAAGAACTTAAGAGGTCAATAAATTTGTTTCTGGACAAACGGCAAAACAATATAGGGTTTTGATAAATGTGTGGTACTATAATCAATTCAAATCACTGACTGGGGACAGAATGTCACAGTGAGAGTCCGTGAGAGAATCCAAACTGAGGAGGAATAACAAATAACTCGAAAGACCTAGGATGCAATGCACTCCATAGTCTATCAATATGCATCTGATCTTAAAGGAGAAAATATAAAATTAAACTCTGTATAGACTGATGAGGAACTGTGAACTTGTTGGGGTACTAAAAACGTTTAGGTCCAAATTAGCCACCAAAAGCATCTGGCCCAGTAGCCCATATAAGAACACTTTACTCTTACTCACTTGGGCAAGGAACCTGTAGACGTAGACAGGCTTGATTTGTCCAAAACGGTAGACTCTGAAGATACTCTGAATGTCATAGGACGGGTTCCATGAGGCGTCAAAAATGATGACCCTGTTTGCAGCCACCAGGTTGATGCCAAGCGAGCCGGCTCGAGTGGAGATGAGGAACAAACGACCTCTGACAGAGTAGAAGAGGGAGAGCAAAGGGAATTATCTTAAAATATTAACATCCGCCTAAGATTGTTGACCGTTTCACTGTGTTGTTTTTCCTCTTGTTCTACCTGACATTATTGGTGTCGTTGAATTCCTCGGCCCACTTCTTTCTGGTAGTGGCGTTAGTGGAGCCGTCCAGGCGGTAGTAGTCGATGTTCCTGAACCACTTGCCTTCACCTTTGAAAAAAACATCACAGTTATGATGGTGTTGAGTTTTCCAAATGCCATCTTGGTGACACAGAACCTTCAAAACAACATGTGTCACCACCATGCAGGCCTTTTCCTTGTCAAAAAGACTTAGTTTGGGTATTAACAGACATCAGATAGATGACTGTGTTGATTAGAAGCCAGCCGTGTTTAGCCTTCAAAATTGCCGCACCCCCTCCACCAGCCTTCATAACCAACATTTCAGCATGTTTCCAATTACGGCACTGTGATCTTTTCATTACAAATTACAAACCCTTGAGCAAACATTTTTTGAGGAATAAAAAGTCAAGGTCTAATCATTTTCAAAATGAAAGTAAAAACAGCTGCTGGGGTTTAATTAGGAACATGACCTTACACCAGCGGCAGTGTGTATGTGTGTTCAGGGGTAATAAACAAGGCAACGACAAGCATTCACGTTGCATGTGGGCTGTCGTATAAGTGTAAAACATGGCTTACCATATGAGAACACTTCAGCCTTTTCAAAGTCATGTTGATGTTACAGAGCAGAGTGAGAGATGAAAAAAAAAACTTGGAATCAAAGATCAGAGTAGCAGGTTTATGGTAGTAAGGATTGTTTGTGACAGCTGCCCATCACGAAAATCAGCCATAGAAACATAAAAGGTACAAAAGGGGGCGCTGATCGGGCCAAGACTGATGGTGGTCTACAGCAGAGACCCCTCTCTTTAAGCTTTGTATAAAAATGTTTTCTATATTAAACTGAAGCCTTGTGCCATGTATGACCGCGTTGTTTTCCATTCCACACTAAACCATTCAGGGCCAGCCGGTGGAACAACGGCCCGTGCTCTCGCCTTACTGTAAGAACATCACTGGTTTGCAAATCAGTTACTGCTGATGGTCTTTCTGTATGTCAACGGCAGTTTTAAATAAAGCTTAGTGAAGTTTTTGATGTAAACTCAGAGAAGCAAAGCATGTTTATTAGTTTTTAGATCAGAAACGTAAAAAAAAAAAAGAATTCTACAACTTCAGCTTAAACCTACCTTTGTAAGGAGATATTTTTCCCTCGTCCTTAGCTCTGCAGGACAACTCCAGGAAATCTTCAATCAGGTCTAGAGAGATGAGAGACTGACTGAACACCAATCTGAGGAGACAGAGACAGTCGTTACAGGTGTGCTCGCACTGTGGAAGGTTGTTGCTTCCATGAACATCTCATACTTTTGCAAGAAAAAAAAAAGAAGCAAATGTCAGGCACACTTACACCTTGTCGTCCACCTCTTCTGCCAAGCGCATGACTTCAAAGAGCAGCATCATCTTCCCAGAGTGCTCCAGAATCTCAGCATCAGCCTCAGTGACAAATTCCTTGTGCCAGTCTGCGCTGGGACTTCCTGGTCCTGAACCAGAGGGCCGCGCTGTTTGTGATAAATATACCAGAGAGAGAGAGATTTATATAAATATACATACATACACATATACAGTATATATAATTTTTTTCCCCCTAGTGTTCATCCAGTGTGCAGCTTCTGCTTTGGCCACGTGAAGCAACAACCTGATTTATATGAGTTGTTGGAAACAGCCTCCCTTGGAGTGGGGGGTGGTGGTGGTGATGAGGGGGATTTGCCTTTGCTGTGCCCTAAATAATAAACACCCTCAAGTGTCTCAACTCATGGGTGGCGCTCATTTATTAATAAACAACCTTTGAGATTATTATAGGCCAAAGTTCTAACACCCCATAAGGTTTAATGATCTATATCTGCTGAAGTCCGGTTCATTTCAGTAATGACACTGTCGTCGGCAGAAATCTCTGCTACTAAAAAAAATTAAATCCCACTGGGACACTGCTAGCTGTTTTTTTAATATTTTGTATTTGTACACCTGTATTAATCCCACTAATTTCCCAACTGCTAATGCTGTTTTTAAATGCAGAAGTTCAGGAGGTATTTGGTCGGTTCCATAGTGTAGCGGTTAGCACGCCTGCCTCAGAAGCAGAGAGGCCTGGGTTTGATTCCCAGAGGAACCACATGCTTGAGGCAGCCTGTTAACAGCATATCTGCTGCTAACAATTTCCTAAATATGGGTTTAATATAGTGCAATTTTTTTTACCCATATAAATTCCTGAGGTCTGTATGTCTCATTTATCTTACATGTGGAAACTGAATGAACATGTTCCTCTGGTCATTATGACCAGATAGGTCATAATATAGTGATGACACCATACGTACGTTCTTCCACCGGCTCTGGTCTGTTCCTGCCCTCTCCGTTCTTGCCCCGAGAGCTGGTGTTCCACTCCTTGATGACCTCCACATCATCGCTGTCAGAATCATTAGATCCCTTCTTTTTCCCCTTCCCCTGCTTCTTTTTCCTATTAAGAGGAGGAACAGTGTGAGCGCCAAGGTCATGGAGAGTAACAGATTGGAGAGAGAGAGAGAGAGAGAATGAGAGAGAGAGAGAGAGAAGGGCAACTGAATGACATAATCAGTGTTTACACATCGTCTGATTTTACTTTTTGGACTTCTCGTCCTCGGAGGTCAGGCTCATGGAGGATTCTTCTGTTTCGGAGGCGATGAACTCTTCCATACTGTCCTCGTCGAAGAACCCCTGTGAGACGGAGCACATGTGTGAGACATGGGACAGGTACAGGGATATGGGTCGAACATCCACAGTTTGAGCGTGGACTGCACCAATTACACTAAAAGAGAGTGTGTGTGTGTGTGTGTGTGTGTGTGTGTGTGTGTGTGTTGTCCTCCCCGAGTGCATGAGTGCTGTCATCACTGTGTCCCCATTGCCTCTGGTGTGTGTGTGTGAGATTTGTTTGTATTCCCAGTTTTGGAGTTGGTGTTTAGTGTGGTTTTGTCTGGTCCTCCGTAGCCCTACCCTGTTTTCTTTACTGATGTAGTCCAGCTGAAGGCACCAGGGATGGGTCCAGATTCTGCTGAGCATCTGGAAATCCTGGAAGAGTTTGGTCCCAGCGCGGCCTCGGCCCCCCTCCAAAGCATTCCCCACACCTGCACAAAGGGGAAGGAGTGTGAGGACAAGGAAAGAGACGGACGTGTGTTTACACTTTATGCTTGAAACGTTGCCCTTAAACGTCTTCATACGACCCGGAGTCTAACAGAAAACACAGTACCACTAAATGTAAAGCTCAGTCTCTTCGCCTTTGATCTGCTTAAATGAAAACATCGGTTACAGTCAGAGGCGGAGGCCGAAATGTCGACTGTACCTGCGCTGCACATTTGACATTTGCTGACCCCAGGAGGCCAGAGGTCACACGTGCTCTAATTGAAGCAGAGGTGAAAGGCCTTACGTGGAAATCCCGACCCTGCCGAGTGTCTGGTGGTCTCGGGTCCAAGAGACAGTGCCGTGGAGGTCCGGGCCACAGTCACAACTTCAGAGCTGTGCCCTGTGGACAACCCGGCCTAATGAGCCACAGCACATACCACCAACCCCCGCGTCACTGCTTCTCTTCTTACATTTACCCGCTCTCCTGCTTTGTTTTCGCTTTTGGTGTAAAAACCTCTGGCCCATTCTGCCTCCACAATGTCTTTCCCTTCCTTTATGCCCCCACATTCCCCTCTTTTGCCCCCCGCCCTCTGTTCCCACTCTCCCAGAGCTCTTCATTAGGGAATCGTGGGAAACTAGGCTTAAACCCTGCCTACGGCACTCTGCCAGCTGCCACTCTCGCACAGACACACACACACACACACCGTGGGCCACATCCAGAGAGTAAAGGTAAATGACTTAACAATACGGCGTGAAAAAAGTGAGAGACCAGAGAGACCTTCCAATTACTGAAAGCCCAGTCTGGATAAATTAGAGACAAACCAGGACAAGACTTCTCCACCAGGGTGTAGTCTAATATTAGACTACGGAACATAAATAGAATTCAATAAAAGTTCAAGACAAACCTACGCCTGCACTCAGGTAATGAGAAGTTTCTACGGAAATGTAACACTAGAGGAGGATCAAGGCCACTGCGGTGAATGTCAGGCCAACTTCAAACCCAAGACTGGACTCATCACACACTCTGAGCAGCACCAAATGTGAAGCAGTGAAGAAGAAAATAGGTGTTTTCTGTGGGTGAAACCAAAATGTAGGACTGGGTACAGAGCATGTGTGACCTGAATCGTTCATGCTAATAAATTACATTAAAAAAGGAAAAAAAATCAGCAAAAACATACTGGAACACACTAAAAAAAAGTGACACAATTAGATACAAATAATGCAGACGTTTATCCAATTTCTTATTGTTATTTAGATAGTTCTCCAGAAGAGGGCACCAAAACTCACTCAGACACCCCGACACAGATTTTTTGTGCTTTGTGATCACTTCACATAGACATAATGCAGCCAATTGCACTAGAAGGTAAGATTTGGGGTAATTTTTTTTTCAAGGGGATTCAAACATATATATTCAAATATATATGTAGATAAATGAGGAAAAAATGAGAAAGACAAAATAGCATTTTTTACAACAAACATCAAATTGCATTATATTCATAAATTTGTAAAAAAAAAAAACAAACAGCAGAAGTTAAACTTTCCTCATGCATGCATGGATACACACCACCATGAGGCAGAACAACCAGATGGGTTTTGAGATGACTGCATGGACTGCATCTAGATCTGAGTTGCTGACTGGTTGAGTTTTAAAGAGTCTAAAGTCACCATAGCAACATCTGAAATACCTCAACGCCTGAGCAGCACGGTCTCTGGACCTCATACTGTAATGTTCCCTGAAGGCACAATAAAACGGAACATCTCCTCACCTGTGAAGTGCTCCAGATAATATCTGTAGAGTTTGCACTGGATGGGTGTCACTCTGATGGACAGGACATACTCATGTTTGGGGGGCAGGAACTTGGTGAGTGCTGTGTAGTCTTTTCTCTGCAGGCAGCACAAACAAACGTTGTTGAATAACCAACATTTAATGAAACTAATTCAAAATAAAACACTAGTATTTTTTTCCAATTCTGTTTGTTTGTTTAACCTGGACGCAGCCTGCCAGCATCTCATAGAGGATGTGAGCCCTCTTTTTCATGATGCGGACGTCGTGCAGTGTGGAGTCAGCACACTGACCGTTTTGGATGGGGTTAATAAAGCGATTCCTGAACTCCTTCACTGAGCCCAGCAGGTTCTCCTTGATGAAGGTGACCATGCAATGGTCTGGAGGGAAAAGCGTCAGGAGACATTAAGGAACCTCAAAATACCTTGGTTTGCTGATACTTGCCCCCTCCCCCCAATGATTCCTGCTCAACAGTCTTACATTCAATGAGGTTGTTTTGCAGAGGTGTTCCTGTCAGCACGACCCTTCTCCTGGTCTTGATTGAGTTCATCGCTTTGGATACTGCAGATGATTCATTTTTCAGAATGTGACCTTCATCACAGATCACCAGGTCTGGGCCTAACGAAAAATAAAGAAAAACAGAAGAAATATGAGAATTAAAAAAAACAAACAAAAAAAACACTTTTCCTAATTTCTGTGTTTCTAAAGGCTAAAACACAGGGGACTGTATTTCACACCATACCTGGATCTACCAGTGTCTTCTGAAAAGTCTGTTTGAGCTTCTTGCTCTTGATGTTCCGGCCCTGCGTCAGGTTCCGGTACATCTCGTAGCCCATGATCATGACACCGCCGTTTTCTTGCCACCGTTCGAGATAGTAGGCGCGATCCTGTGCCTTTTTTACCGTGGCCAGCTCAGTCACCTGTTAAAAAGCCCGGAGATTTGAAAAGCTGAGTGTTGATCTTTACATTGATAAATGAATATAATTGACCAACATCTTAAACTTGAAGAACCAATACCTCCAAACTCTCCTCGTCCTTCATCCCCACCTGCCACTTCTCAAACTCATTGAGCCAGTTCAGAACTGTATTGAGGGGACAAACCACCAGTGCTGTGGTGAAGTTGATCTTGTCACAGAGCAGCAATGTATGAAGAAACGCCACCACCTACAGGACAAAGAAAACATTACAGTCGACGATAACTTTTCTACTCTTCTCCTTTTCTAAATAATAAAAAATCACACAAACATCGAAGTTGATCGTTTGTCTGCTCTACTTTTGTTTTATAGTGCGTGCTTTTGTGCATCAATATTGAGCTGCGCTTCTAACCTGCAGTGTTTTTCCCAGACCCATACAGTGGGCCAGGATACAGCCGGAGCCGGCGGACTTTTCAATCTTCCTCACAGATTCACAGCAGCAGTCCCACATGAACTGCACACCTGGAACAGAACGCCAAACACTCTTGAGTGACTGCAGTCTTAGCTAATACAACCTGTAGAAACGCTGTTTCTTCTTACCATCAACCTGGTGAGGTTTTAGCTTTGTGACCAGGTTCCTATGCACCTGCACCAAAGGCTCCTTGGTCTCTTCATCCTCATCCAGGACCAGCTTGGTGGTGATTGGACAAGTCACCGGAGAAGCTTCATCAACCACGATCACCTGAGAGAAGAAGAGTGAAGGGAAGAACAGAAATTAACGCAGTCACTTTTTTATGATGCACCATTAGAATTTCTAATGGTTCATTTGTATACTCCAGAACAGTGATTCTCAAATGCTGGATCGCAGCCCAAATGTGGGTCACAGACTTTCAGTGGTAAAAACAGAGGTTACGGCTTAGCGCTTTAAAGACATACTGAACATTCACATTGAGATGCCAAATCTTTACCTCTCGAAGTTTCTCCCTGAGTGCCTCCCTCTCAGCGATACGTTTTCTCCTCTCCTCCTCTTCTTTCAGAGCATCTCTGGTCTCTGTCCTCAACTTGTCGTCTTTGAGGATTTTGCGAATCTTTTTGCGTCCTTTGCGGCCGTCTTTATCTAGATCATCGTCATCCTCGTCTCCTTCCCCACTCTGTTCAGACAGAAATTAACCTGAGTATCTTCAGCTCTTTATTATTGACCATAGAACAAAACTGTACGAAGTTCAGTAATAATTTACTGCAAAATGTAGAGAATATTTCTGCTCCGTGCATGGTACTTTAAATACCTTCTCATTGCTGGAGGAGGAATCTTGAACTTTGATTCTGCGGCGCTTCTTCTTCTTCTGCTTGTAACTCCTCTGCTTCTCTTCATCCTTTTTCTTGGAAGATCTACAGTCGTAGTGTAATAAGTCTTAGCAACAGCAGGTGATGAAGTATATTCATAGCAACAATTGTCTGGGTGATCTTATTCCTGACCTTGTCTTTCGGCGCTTGCCGTCTTCTTCTGACTCACTGAGCTGCTCGCTGAAAGCGGATTCTTCACTGGACTCTGACTGATCAAAGTCTGAGTCCGAGTCGTCGCTGTCGACTAGAATAAGAGAAAATCATATTAGAAAAAAGTTGTTTCCACATTATGGCCACATTTTTTGTGAAGGAAAGCAAACTGAGTTGTTTTTAACCTTTACGCCTCGACTTCTTCTTTTCGTCTTTGCTCTTCTCTTTTTTGGAATCTTTTCCCTCGTCTGATTCACCCTCGCTCAGGGAGAGTTTATGTCGGAGAAGTGTGTGGCGCCGACCCTTCTTTTTCACCTCAACATCAGAGCCTGAATCATCTGAATTTGTATCGTCTAAAGGATAAAAAAAAACCAACCGTGTCAATAAAAGCAGGCCCATGTCAAAAGGACAGTCAACAGTCAACCAATCAGAGTTACTTTGCTCGTCTGCATCATCCACTTCGTCGTCAGATTGTTTGACTTCTTTCTTCAAGGTCTTCTCGTCATTGTCTTCTGCGTCGTTATCAGAGGAGCTCTCTCCTCCAGAAGAGTAGGTGGACTTTATTTGAGCGAGAAGCATTTTCTTTGCAATCCTTTCAAAAACCAAGAAACAACATGGTTTTTACATTGTTTTTTAAATCAGGTGATGTAAAAAAAGGACACTACAGTATATTGGATCTCTTACGTACCTGTTTTCAGGATCGTCATCATCGTCTTCATAAACCCGAGACCCTTCTTTTTTGTCGCCTTCATCTCCTGCACAGGAAATTACACACGTGACACCGCTGTAAAAGCCTGTACACACCATTTTCCTTTGGTGGAAAAATACACTGAGAAAAATGTGCTGTGGCTCAGTGGTACAATTAGGGTCTTAACTTCAACGACATACAGCAACTCATTGAGCTTCAATTACAGAACCTTAGATTACAGCTGTCCAGAAATTCTTCTCAAAAGTCAAATGGTAAAGACATTCACCAGCACAACCAATAAATTACCTGAGGACTGATGGAAAGGTGCACCAGCTCCGAGCACGTTGTCCTCCACAATGGGTTTGATCTTCTGTTCGTCACTGTCCTCTCCGGGCTCACCTTCAACCTGTTCCTCCTCGTCGTCCTCCTCACTGGAGGAGGACTTCAGCCTCAGTGATGATTTGGGGCTCCTTCCTTTCCGCTTCTTTTCGTTTCTCGTCAGGTGACTTTTTTTTATCTTCCTTTGCTTCATCGGATTTCTTCACACGGCTTGATCGTCTCTTTGCCGTGCTCACTTTATCTTTTGTGTCCGCGTCCGAAGAGTCAGAGGAATTGTTTTTCTTCTTCTTGGAGGCATTCTTACTTTTTTTCTCTTCACCCGAATCGGAGCTTGCGGACTTTCTTTTACGCTTGGATCTTTTGTCTGGATTCTCCTCAGATGTGTTATTTTGTTTAAACAAACACTTTTTTGCACTTTTGCTTTCCTCTTCCTCATCCTCATCTGAGCTACATCCTTCTGCTGCTTTTTCCAGCAGAATATCAGGGATTTCGTCCGAGTCCGAGTCGACCGTCTTTGTGACCGAATCCTTATTTTGCTTCTTAGCCTCCTTTTTTTCTTTAGCTGATCTTTTTGAGGACTTGGCCTCGTCCTTAGATTCCTCCTCAGAATCTGAACCTGAGGAATCCTCCCTGGCCTTGCTCTCAGTCTGTTTTCTTAAGGGGGTAGTCTTGACTCTACTTGGGCGACGGTTGGGGGTCGGGCTGGCCTCCCTGTCAACGGTGTCAGCCGTTTCTTCCTTATGCTCAGCATCTTCTTTGCCGTTCTTCTCAACCTCACCATCATGCTTTTTGTTGGAGGACCTTGAACTGCGTGTTGTAACCACCGGCACAGGAGTTAGTTTGACTATGAGGTTCTTGACCTTCGGTTGCGGCTGTGAAGAGTCTGTGGAATTTTCATTTGACTTCAGGTCAGTGTCTGTCATCGCATCTGTGTTATTCTGAGAGAGCATGCTGGAATCTGCAAGACTCTCCACCATCTGGAAAAGCTCTTCAGGAACCGACGTTGGCACCGAGACAATGTCGTGATCTAAGGACATTTCCTCTGCCGACACCAGTTCATCACATTCTTCAGTTTTCACTATCTTTTCTGGTGTATCCACTTCTGTTTGGCTATCTTTCATTTCTGGCTCATGTGAAGCCTGATCGTCGTCCATCACCTGCTTCTTGTCCTGCTTCTTGTCCTCCTTTTTGTTCTGCTTCCTGTCCTGCTTCTTGTCTTGCTTCTTGTCCTGCTTTTCTTCTGCCTTACTGTCTGGCTCCCAGTTTGGCTTTTGGTCCATCTCACAGCCCACTTCCTGGTTCTGAACCTGCTCTGGATCCTGGTCTGCCACTTGCTTTGGCTCACAATCTGGTTTTTGCTCCAACTCGCCATCCACCTCCTGGTCCAGACTGTCATCCACCTCCTGGTCCAGCTTGTCATCCACCTCCTGGTCCAGCTTGTCATCCACCTCCTGGTCCAGATTGTCATCCACCTCCTGGTCTGGCTGCTCATCGTCCTCCTCCTGATGAAGTTCCTCTGCTTCATCGTTGTCCACTGCAGTATCCGCGTGGTCGTTTTCTACAGGAGTCACCGGAGTTTTAGTCTTTTGTGCTATACTTTGTCCTTCGTTACCATTCGGTAACTCCATACTTCTCAACTCAGGTTCCAAAGCCTCCTCCAGAGCGGTGTGGGCCTTCTTCAAATCGGAGAGCACGGCCTGAAATGCTTTTAAATGCCGATACCTGATAGCCTTATCTCCCTGCTCCTCAGACGACTGCTGTATGAACTGGATAAATGTTTGGTTGAGACCAGTTGTCGTTTCAACAAGCTTTTTTGTCTTCTTTATGAGTTCTTTGGGTATGTGCAGTTTCTTGTAGGAAAACGACATGGTTCCTGAGCCTTCAGTGTGTTCTTTCCCGTTGACAACTGCTTTCTGTACGTTGGCCGGCTTGTTCTTGGGCTTCTTGGGCTCCTGTTCCCCCTTCTTTTCTGGTTTTTGTGGAACGTCTTGCTTTTCAATAATGCCGCGGCATTTGGAGACCAGATCCTGGAGAGGCTCTGGCCTGCACACGTAGCAGTTCCACTTTGAGTTCTCATTAGTAATAGAGGACAGCTCCTTTCTTCCCAGGTTACGCAGGATGCACTTCTTACAAAAGGCGTTGTTACAGTAATCACAGCAGATAAGCTTGCCTCCCTCGGCGCACCACCTAGAAACAAGAACCTACAGGTTAACCACTGAGAGGGAACAAGTTTGGAAAATTAAAAGAAAAAAAAATTTACTCAGCATGTAATTTTCCCGATTAACCATGATTCAAACTGACAAATCAAGGCTCAATTCATTTTTTTATTCATCTGTAATGTTTACAGCTGCAAACTGTGCAATCAAAACACAAAGGTCACATGATTAAAGAATCAAACAAACCTACAAACTGTCCCTCTGTGTAATCACTTAATTTTCTCTGTATGCCATTTTATGATATTTTATTTTATTATTACTGGGGTTGTTATAATTAACCCCGTAATAGCAAAAATAACTTGACGCCCAATTTGCTAAACATTTCATTTTATTTGCAGTCACTTGCTCAGAGCCCAGTTAAAGCACTGAGATCAGTTGACTGTAGGTTTTTCGAATCCCTGCCCTTTTTTTTGCTCGTCACACCACAACAGAGCAACCTATTTCCCACCTATTACACTAATAAACTAAATAAAATGGAAATGACAATTCTGTTTCTGCATGTCTGTGTGTACACAATGACTAAAAAGCTGCTTCTGTTTCCTTCCATACCTGCACTGCTCGTCCATCCCATCAGAGTCTCTGCTGATGTCATCGCTTGTGTAATACTTGTAGCATGACTACAGAAAAGGAAAAAGGTTGTGGTCACTGATGATCCTGTTTGAAGTTCAATGTAATTCAATAATTGCACACTGTAGGTTACAGTAGTCGGAGGATTTCCTACCCTGCAGATGAGAACTTTAAGAGCAGGATGTTCATAGACAGAGTTTCGCTGAAACTGGTTTACTTGTTTTCCACAGGCAGTACAGTTGACCTTCTTCTGCAGAGTGTCATCTGATAAAAAAAACGTACATTAGTGGCTGCTATTTTTGAACTGACTTTCATACTTTCCTTGATGATGACACATTTCAAGATAATTACATGACTTTAAAAAGATGAAGACATTGATTACCTGAATGTTTTTGCTTGAAATCCACTCTGAGCTTCATGGCGCCTTTATTTTCATTGCCAGCCGGCCTCATGACCAAGGTACCTACGAGAAGCCATATATGTGGAACGTGACTCTCAGAGTTGTAATTAACAAGACTGTAACGGTGCATCTCAGTAATAACACAGGACTTTTCCACGACATTCCACACCAGCGACACCATGACAGACAGACGTGTTTCCTTAAAGAGTTAAAAAGTGTTTCTACAGTTGAATGTTTTCTTTTGTGTCGTTCACCAGATTACTTCTATATCTACATTTTCAAAAGAGGACAGAAAGAGGAGTCTGTAGCCACGGGAGAGTAAAACCCTCACACCCACCACATAGTCTGTGTCATGGACTAAGGTCAGCAACAATCTGAAACTGGAATGTTGCTGGATTCATCTCTAGGCACTACAGTAAATCCAAGTAAGGCCTGAAAAAGCAAGTTAATTAAATGGAAATCTTTTAAGAGCTGATGTGACATGTGATTCGTCAGTAGTCACATGGGGGGGGGGCTGCACTAAGAGTAAGCAGAGAAGCACTGGGTTGAAAGAAAGAAAAATGTATATATTAAAAAATATTAATCCCTTATTCGTCCCACAATGGGGAAATTTCAGTGTGAGTCTTTACAACCCACACAAACCGCCATGGGAGGCGCCATTAGGGATATCTGTTTTTTTCTGGGGCGTGAACCCAGGACCCTTTTGAGTGTAAGGATATTTGACTTTTTTTTTTATTATTGTACCTTTGGATGCTCTTCCTGTGTTGCCGTCAGTAGGATTGTCTGAAGTTTCCCCATCATTTTCACTATCAGCGGAGGAGTCAGACTCATTCAGTCCAGTGTTCTTGGTTGTAGTGGACGGCTTCCTAAAACATGCAAATATGAGGCTTTATTAAGATGAAGGCAATCAAATACAGCTTTTTTTTTGTTTAAAAAAAAGTCCATAAAGGTCATAAACATTTAACAATATTTCTCACCTCCTGCTCTGTGACGAGGAGGGCTTCATGTTGTCCGTTGAGCTACCAGGCTGGAAAAGGTCCAAAAAGCATTTCAATACAATCACATACAAAGGTGCTCCTCAACACAGTTGATACACAGGCTCCATTCTTACCTCCTCTGCCTTTTCTGCCATTTGGTCCAAGTTTGAATCAGAAGCTGTCAGACTCATTATTACCTGAAAAACATTTGAAAAACACATATGTGTTAACACATGTAATCTACAAGTTACAGTTTCTTGAAGTTACAGTTTGGAGAATTTACAATGCAAATTAATTCAAAAATTGAATTAATGGCCATGTATTCTTTCTATTGTTTTGTAGCAACAGGATGACTTTACTTTAAATATTAGCCACCCCTTATCTCAATATATCTGAATCTATGCAGGGTGACAGATGGTGGCAGATTTTTTAAAATAAATTATATATTAATATTTTGAATTAAATATGTGTATACAGGCTAAATTCATTCAAATGTGATTATCAAATAGGAAGAGATGCATTTTACATTCAAACGACTGCAGTACGGAGAAGCATCTGTGACCCAACAAAAATGATAACTTTCAGAAAAGGTCTAAAGACCAACACACGTTACTTCTTCCTCATTTATGGACAAACTGCATGACTCTGCTGCTTTTAACTGAATTGAGTTCCTTCTGAAAAATAAAATAAGAATTTTGTCACTTAGTGCATATTAAACAAAACATAAACCCCAAATAGGAAGTCATTACGTTAACGGAATTAAGTGATACTACTTTAAAAAGAGTGTTGGGGCAAAGCCATGGAAATTGGAACAAATGAAGTTGGTATATCGACTGTGCAGATTCATTCTGTTCAAACTTTTGTTTTTTTCACGTAAATCTCAAGTATTCAGAAAAATAAATAAGTAATAATAACAATAATAATAACAACAACAGTAATAAACTAGATTCCTTGCACCAAAACGAATCCCCACTTTCAATTACATATAACAAGCAACAAATGCTAAGCTAAATTGTTCTTTTAGGAAATCCATTTTGGCCAAAAGATTGTTACAGCTACAGCCAGCTATAAGCATACCAACCCCGCATGAAACTTGACAAACCGAGTAGTCAAATGGGTTTCAAAGCAGAGCTCATATCCTAAAACGGCTGTTATATCATTTTCTAGGGCGAGGGTGAGGGAAATGGCCGGTCGAATTACAAACAGAACACACTATTACACATTCATCATCTACTGAAAAATCATCTTTACGGTCACGGGGCAGCAGGAGCCAATCCCAGCCGTCATCAGTCGAGGGGAAAGGTTACGTCACAGACGGTTGCTATTCATCACTTTACAACAACACCGATACCTATGAAAGGCCGTTAGTTAACATCGGTAATCGGAATTGTCCTCTTTCCACAACTTCTCAACTTTTTTTTTTTCCTTGCACCGTTGGGCCCGGCTGTAATATAATACAAAAACAACGGTTGTCAAGCTTTACACAAGCCATGTAGGAGAAAGACAGAAGATAAATGTAAAAAAAGCGTACTCTTATCTTTGAGTATTGTCTACAGAAATCAAGTAAAATATTTTAAATAAATATTACAATAATTATTATAAAAACACAAGAGAGTCTGTTTATGTTACGCTCTTGAGCTCCATTGATATACAGGAAACACATTGTTTTTGTCGTGTCAAAGAATCACGGTGTTTGCAGCGGTAACAACTGACATATTAGATATTAATTGAAATATTATTTCATTACAACCTCAATGTCATTTGACACCCATCAATCTTAAGGCAGCGTTGCCGAGTCAGACCACGTGTATTTGTTTGCAAGGTTTCTCTCAGACTGAGACATCCCGGTATGATCACCGTTTTGCGTCATCATAATGTGCTGATTAGATATTTACAAGCTGCGTTCCACTGTCGTGTAGTCGTATCGGCAGCAACCAGGCCCGGAATGTGTCCAGAACCTAAGTGTCATTCCTAAAACAAAGGAGAACACTCCCCCTGCTCTGCTCTTCTTTTCCGTCCCAGCCGTCAGTGTTTGGACAACACAGGAACTCATGACCCGCAGACGCCGCCGTCTTTAACTTGACTGTTGCTACATATTAGCAGCGTTAGCTGACACTCACTCTGGACTCATTTCACTGGCAACCCTGCAGTCTAAGCAGTGCATGCAGGCTCCAGTGCAGGATTTGCACTGGAAAAAAAATTGTGCACACACACACACACACACACACACAGGCCTGGTACTTTCTTTCGCTTCCGCGCCATGACGATACCGTGGCACCAACGGCAGTAGCTGCAGCCTGGCACTTCCTAGCAGCATCCCAAGTAGCTTCGCAACGTTTACAGCACGCATCCACACCAATACATTTAACCCGAATTAAACGGTTCAACCGATACGCATATTAACAACAGCTCGGGGTGCATTTGTGAGCATTTACGTTCGCATATATGCGGAAAATGCATGTTGCCGGTTGCGCGGCTACCAGCTACCACTCGGCTAGGGTGCCCGTGGCCCGGTTCGCCTCTCACAGAGACAGCGCCGAAATCAACGTAAATCGACTAGGTGCAAACAATCAAATCAAATTGCGATCGTACCTACTGTTCGTCCTCGTCATTTCTCGACTCCCAAAGATGTGGTGTGCATTCGCTGTTCCGGATTAAGATCCGATCAATTTAGCAGCAGAGACGGCGGAACGGGGGTGAAAAAAGGCTGCGAAAAGCCTAACTAGTCCAGTCAGGGCAGACAAAGCAAAGGGACCATCTTGCCGGATGGCTGTGGACGCAGTAAAATGGCGCATCGAGCCTAAATCCTATCCGCCTTCCTATTGGCTGAGAGTCACCGGAGACCACCGGTGTTCATCCGAAAAGACAGGGAATCATTTTCTCTTGGAAAATCCTACCTTGTCCTTATTTTTATGTTTTAACATCGCTGTAGAGTATTCAGTACAATAACAGCATATCAAAGGACACAAACACAGCCTTTGTCAACCTTACTTTTTCTTATTTTCCCACCGTAGGCGTCCAATAAAATATGCCACCGTACACAAGGAAAGCCTTTCAAATCGCGTACGCAACGAATTCATATTTATATAAACGTGGCCTATATCACTGTTTGAGAAAGCGTTCAAAAACAAAAATCGTTTCTATATTTATCAGTGTTCTCCACTGGCCCAATACAGTTATTCTCAAACTAGGGTATGCATACCACTGGTGGTACTTCAGTTCTCCTTCATGGTTTAAGGTTTAATTTGTTAAATGTCATTTTGGTTTCACATTATCTTTTATGTTTTCTGTAGCTTTTCCTCAGGGAAAATACTTTATATTAAAACTTCAATGTTGTCTTTTTTCTTTAAACATAAACGTGTTTGTTTTACTTTCTTATGGTTTAAGCAAAAGTTTTTATGTTGAATGTTAAAATTCCCTGTGGTTGTACCTGCAACCTCAGAAAGAATTGATCTCATAACTTTGCGAAATTGTAAAACTATTCACTTGAACGTTGGTCATGTTTCCTGAAGGTGGGGCTCTTTCTCTAAGTTTATCAGCAGGTGTTGCAGCAATGAGTCAATGTAGTCATTTTAAGAAACACTGGGGGAATTATTATTAATCATCAACATCCTGACCTCTTCTGATACAAATTTGAAACTTGGCTGGGGGTTAAATGCTATGGTGCTAAATTTAGCTTAGCTTTTTTTTTTTTTTTTTGTATTTCCATGTAATATATTAATATGGGTCAGTAATCTTAGAGCTGCAGTATAAGCTGGAATTCCTTTGGTAGGTTAAAGGTTTGTTTGAAAAACAAAAAGTTAAGTGTTAATGCCCCTGGGTAAAACGCCTGTGCCATGTTTCATCAAGTTACCAATTCACATGAATCATCTGCTGGGGTGACATCACCGGGTAAATGTTATTTTTGACTCCGGGGGACACTTTTTTTTTTTTTTATCTAGGAACTAAAGAGTTACACTTTCCCTCTCCTTTTGTGTGGGACAAAGAGAAAAAACCCCTGACTAAAAGGTGTTTTTCATCATCTGTAATCCCCCAGCTTGGGATCACTAAAGTATATCTATCTATTTATAACTCTATCTATCACACCACAAGTCCGTCCTTAAACCGAAAACATGGAGGAGTTGAGTCCAGACAGGCATCAGGTGTGGAGCGATGACAATATTATAAGAATATTAAAAACAGAACATCAAAAACGTTTGCTGGGATTTATTTATTGTTCAATGCGTGTTTCTGTTTTTTGTTTTTTTATTCTGAACTATTGATTGATCAATAGAGTACATATCCTGTAGAAACATTATTACTAATACTCTATGTGTATACTTGTTGATATTCTCAGTCATGCAGGTCGTCATAACAATCTCAAAAGCAGTTTTAAAAGTAGGCAACAGGACTCACCTCAAGTAAATTGAAGACGTTTCGCCTCTCATCCAAGAAGCTTCATCAGTTCTACTGTCCATGGTGGATTCTCCCCTGCCCCCCACCCCCCATCCTCCCTGTCCTCCCTGTCCTAGAGGATCCACCATTGGGTCAACGACTCATATGACCATTTAAAGGTCATATCGTTTTGAGCCCTTGGCCACTTTTATTTTCCGACACCACACACCCCTTTGGGGTGGATAGATAAATACCTAGAAACTCCCCACCAGGACAGTAGAACCCTTGAAGGGCCGGTTGTAACTGTAGTACTTTACGAATTTTGTACGTTGCTCTGTGTAATAAAATATTTACCTGGTTAAGAAACTCAGCAGCATGAACTTTATTACAAGGCAATTAAATGCATTTTAAGCTCACACGGGCCACTCAACATGACCTGGCAGGCCACATTTGGTCTGCGGGCCTTGAGTTTGACATGTGTATTAGAAATTCTATATATTAGTTTTTCTTCCAAAGTATTACTCTGTGGCATGGTAGGAAAACAAACCTCTACATGCATTGTTCTGTGTATGACTGTCTGTGACAAAGTTATTTAAATTTTTATTTTTTTTTTGTAAAATAATGTTTCTCATTGTGTCTCGACCAGGTGCTTTTGTTTATTTAAACTTTCCTTTTCACTGTTATTCAAAAAATGTTGACTAATGCCAACGGCTATCTCATCACTTCTACGTGCTGTGAGCTCCACCAGCATTCTCCTGCTATGACAAGGCTAAAACTTTGATGTGGAAAACCTTCATAACACCGCAAGCATCTCAGGCCTACACCTATTTTGAAATGTCTGATGATAGTCTTAAATTAGTAGCCTTTCATCCTAAAATCATAGCATTTGGTCACTGAACGATATGTTAATTTCTGTGGGGGAATTTTGGCCCTTGCACACGATGATTGGCCCAAGATGATTATCACAGCTTGTTGCTGATAAGACATTAATAGGTGGTGCTTACTAATAGAAAACTCTGAGCCCAAGCGGAACATTTCATAGTAAGATAGATATACATCATCTTAATCCTTTTTTGGCATCTTCCTCTGACGTGTGAACTCCTGTGGTCGGAGAGTATATGTAGTAAGAGTGAGAAGATTGTGCAGCGGCGTGTACAACTCTCCTCATCAAACCTGACTGCTGTCTGACTGATCGTAAGCCCACTCAAAGGCGATGAAGAGCTTCACCGTCCAGTGCTGTGCAGTGTTGGCCGTGGTGGTGTCGGTGGTAATGGGTCGAGCAGTCACGAAGAAACACAATTCCATTCATTACTGGGAGCAGGTTCAACATGAGGCACAGAACCTGTTAAAACAAAATGTAAGGAAAACACATGTCAACAGCAATGGGTGATACTTGTGCGTATATTTTGTTATTCGTGTTTTTTCATGCTTACTTTCTCTTCTGTTCCTCAAGCTGATAGATGTGGAAGTGTATTACCTGAGGAACCCCTCAACTTGTGTGGTATGTCAACATTTCTTGTTTTTTTATTTGGTATGTGAATGAGGGTTGTGATGATTGCACATGGTGAGGTAACTTCAGAGGTCAATGACACATTTCTTTATGCAGAAAGAGCTACCCTGTTTGGCAAGGGAATCTCTGAAACCTATACAGATGAATCTGACAGACGCACTTTACCGGACCTTGTACCAGTGCGACATCAATGTAAGAAAATCTTTTTTTAACTCAAATTCATTGTTTCATCAAACAACATCCTCAATTTAGTAGCTGCACTGAAGAACAGGTGTAAAGACTTTTCTGTGGAACAGGGTTTCCACTTATTTGGACACTCAACCAAATGTAGGATTATTTGCTTTAGGGGTGATGGTGGTGGTAGTGGTGGGGATGGTCTATCAATATTTGTTATAGTGCATTTTCTATGACCTGATCTTTGTTCTTTCCTTTTGGCTACAGCATATCAACGTTTTCCATTGCACCCTGTTCTCTGCATCTTCTACTCTGACTCCATCTTTCTGCATGTCCTTCCTCACTGCATCCATAAATCTCCTCTTTGTCTCCTACCTGGTAGCTCCATCTCTAACATTTTCTACAACCTGATTATATAGTAAAATTGAAAGCTTGTTTTTTGTTGCTTACTTGCCTACACTACCTTATTTTCTTATTCACGTTGCCCTTTTGTGAATACAAATTCTAAATTTCCAATTTTTTTTTTATTTTTCAGATGACTCTTAACTGCACAGTGAACAAATACCCCTTAGTTAATCTGAAGGTGTTACTGAAGAACATTATCGACTGCAATGGCACCTTGTGTCCTCCAAGGACATAACTTCATGTTATTTATTGTAATATACATAAGTTATTTTTTTAAATGTTATTTTTATATTTTTTAATAACTGACTTGAAAACATATCTACAATATATATTATTTTACTATTTATTAACTAATAAATTTTAACTGATATCAATGGAGCGTCTTCATTTTTTTAATTTTTTTTTATTTTTGATGTCTGTGGTGTTTGTGTAATTCCAATATCAATGCTTAAACTGTATGAATGCTGAGGGATTATTTCCTGGGTTCGTGGGCTCTTCAAAAACTGCAGTGAGGAACTCTCTAACATGACTCTGAACATCAGACTTTCCAATTAACAACCTGGGTTTTAATGCCTGTCCCCAAAAGACCAAAGACAAGACAGAGTGTATTTGTTTTAGTCAGTGTGAATTTAATGCAGAGATTGGAGATGGTGTCCGACTGTCTGACTGACAGGAAGTAGATGTGGAGGTGGCACGGACGAGATGCTGAGAGTGTTATTACAACCAGGATGGACAGGAGAGGAAAGGAGCAGATCAGAGCACATACGTCCAACTAAAGCCTCCCAGGCTGAATGGGGCCCGCCACATGGTTGGCTTAAAATAAATGTTTATCTCAAGAGGCCTAATATTGGCCTCTTGCCCTCCACTTGCCTAATAATTGTGCACACAATTATTATGTCAAAAGTGACTATTTTGACCATATCATCAACTTGAATGCGTATTGGTTTTAATGTATATTAGATGATATATGATATATGTATTTGTGTAAACCCTCTATATCAAGGTGTGCATTTTTGTGGGGATGGTCTTCTTTGGGTTTGATGCTTCTCCAATTATTATAGTTATTCTCCGCACCGTTGCCAAGACACCTGCTCTGTATGTGATCTCATTTGGTTTTCAATAAAGTTTCAGAAACGTCATCTAATTTGCTTTGTATTTTTAGTGTAATGTTAATATACTGTACACCACATAAACACAGTCTTCCATTTTTCACCAGCTTCAGGTTTTTAAGCATTGCTTCAAGTAAAACAGTTTTTTTATAGGAGTCTTCAGGAAAAATCCTTGCAGTCCATTTTTAACCAGGTCAACCATTTGACTCAGAAAACAGAAGAATATGGGATTGAAATGTAAAATAATTTAATAAATAACAGGCAGGGTGTAAACAATGGTACAAAAGGAAATCAACCTAAATACAAAGAAATGCATAAAAAAAAATCAACCTTTCTAGAGTCGAATACAGTACAGTACTAGGTTATACATTGTTTATAGTGTATCATAATAAAACACTGGAATGAATAACTATTCAAGCGACATATTTAGACGTGGAAATGACACGGACGTAGGAGCTGGCTGCCATGCTTTTTTTTTTAATGCTTTTTACCTGAAGGAAAAATTAAAACAGAATAAAACTTTCAGTGACCTGATGGTTGTGCCCTGACTGACCATCTTGCTTCACATCTTTTACACGCCTTCCGTCCCTCAAGTGAAGGAAAAAGCAACCACAGCTAATCTTGGGTGAAAGAGTGAAAAAAAACTAGACTGTTTCAATTTAGTTTCAAGAGGAATTTCAAAAGAACCGGTGACACACGACGCAGGATATGGAGTTTAAAGGTTAAGACTCAGATCTGTTCAGTGTTCATGACGTAAGAGCTACTGTCAGGTGTTTCTTTTATCCCCTAAACCACAAAACACTATTATGGTTGCAAATAAAATGTGAAAGAAAAAAACCCGTTCTCTTCAAACATGATGCAACTAAAGTGTGTTTTGTAAGTCAGCGACTTGCCATGATTCAGTTTTTTTTCAACACTGCAGTGCCTTTAAATGTACATCCCCTTCTGACAGACACTCATAATAATAATAATAATAATAAATTGTTTTTGACACCAACAACCCCACACTTTGCAGTCTCTTGATAAAATAACGTGAAGCCTTCGATGAAATGCGTTTGTGCTGTCGCCAACTTTATTGTAGGAGGGATTCGATCACAGCTTCAGGTTTAGCAGATCTTTTCCTGTGGGGAGATAAGAGCATGAGAGGTGTGAATCATTTCTGCAGAGTCTCAGTTTCCACTTTTCTTAGAAAATGTTCATATCACGATGAATAAAAAAATAAAAAAATGCCAACAGTCCTTATCAACAGGCAACGGAAGTAGAACCTCTGACTGATGAGGCTGTGTATGTCCAACCATTTGCTCTTCCTTTTTACCAGTCATCATGACATCTCACCACCTGATTTGAACCAAGCGCATTGCTGACATTATCAATGACAAAGCTTTATTTTGCAATAATTGGTTATATTTAAATTATATATGTATTAGTGATGCACCGCTAAATAAAAAAATAAAACGAAAACCAAGGCTGAAACACCGAAAGAAATTATTATGCCAATTATTAGTACCATTGCATTTATGGCCATGACTGTGATTACATAAGTTAATCATAAATAAATAATACATTAATAATTGTCACAATAATTAAACGTCTGGCAGAGAAATAAAATCAAATGAGTCACATAGGAGGTCAGAACAGAACAGCCTACCTATTATTATTATTTGAGGCACTCTATTGCAGGATCTCACAGAACACATCAGACAACGAGGGCGTCTTCCCCCACATTTTGCACGGAGAGACGAGTTATTTTTTATCAAAGTAATGGTCTTTATAACGCGGATCAGTCGCGACAAAGTGCAGGGGACCCGCGTGCTGACTGACTCTGAGTGTACTTTTCGCCCTCTCTTGAAATCTCAGCAGAACATGTTTTGCACATCACTATCCGTGGGTCTTTCTCAGATACGTATATTGAAATACCGCTGGAGGTTGGTACTTTTACACGAGCCCACGCAGGGCATGGATTTTGCTTGCTACATCATAACTTCCTGTTTCGGCCGTGTTGTGTGTAGACATAAACTGTATAATGTATATATATATAAATATATGTAAATATACACACATCAACTATATAAAATACATATATATCACATTTATGCACATATAATCCCAATAGTATTATATATTATATAATTATATATACAAAATATTTTCTTGGACACAACTGAACTCAAGCAGTCAATAAAAGCAGAAGAATTAAATGAGGTCACCATCAGTTATGAATCACCATCGCTGACTGCGGCATCAATATTGCTCATCAGGGTGTGACTACCTTCGTCCAGTCTTTGGTCGACCACTCTTGCTACTTTTGGAGGTTCGGGGCCTCTCCAGTTTCATCAATGACTGCCGCATGCTTTCCTCTGTGTAGGCCAAATACACGTGGGACAGGTCCACCTCAAAGGGCTGCGGGACAGACACAGGACGTTACAATAACCGCAGAAGGGCCACAAAGTTTACACCAATTAAAAAACAAACAAACTCACATCTTTTTCTTTTTTGTCCGGGGCGGGGGTTTGTTTTCTCATATTGTTGCCAGTGTAGGCCACACATTTCTGTGAGACATTGCAAAAACAAATGTGAGCAGCCATGGTCGAATTACATCACAGAACGTAGACATTCAGACTGATTATCAAAGCACAGATCAGCTCACCAGCTGCCACTCTCCAATGTCCTCATTCCAGTGTACGTAATTCTCTATCATCTCCTGGGAACAAACACGAGAAAAGACAAAACTGTGAAAAATGTTTTCTCAAACAGCTGCAGAGCAGTGTTCTGACCAAGGTTCGGTCATCCACAGTGACCTGAAGTAGCCACTGTGAGTCAGAATAAATCATTTTGACAGACGAATATGTCACTTTTATTCCTCCTAATTTTTGTGTCTTAAGGTTAAAATATGCCTGGAACTCGAAAGATTTAAACTTGACTGATGGATTCTTCACAAACAAAGTACCACACCTATATAATAACTAATTAATTTTTACTCTTTTCAGTTCCGTAATTTCTGGAAAACTGGTAATGCATCTAAAGTTTGTTTTCCAGCAGTAAAGCAGATGGCCAGGATGCACTGAGTAATGTCAGCACACAAGAAGATTTGGTGGTAGAAGACAAAACTTTCTTTTTCTTGACTTCCTGATGGCAGCTTGGATAAAAGCATGGTTGTGCTGAATTGCACAACACTCACTACCCACATGACAACTCACGATGAGTTCTGGTAGACCAGATAACACAGTTGAAAAAAAACCTAAAAATTGAATATAGCTGAATCACTTGTCAAGCAAATTATTTTAATTTAAAAAAACCTTTGCTTTATGATAAAAAACTATTTGATTAATTGTGATAATTATCAAGTCTCACATAACCACTCACAGACAGACAGAAACACTACACACACACACACAAAACCAGGTTCACACCACAGACACACACACACAGACAATCAAACACACCACAGATACACACACACACACACACACACACACCTGGTATTCCTGTGGTATAAAGTTGTCTATGATGAGCATCTGCAGTCGCAGCTCTCTGCTCAGCTGACGGATGTTCTCCAGAAGCCCTTCGATCTCCCTGTGATGCTCCTGCTGCAGATCTGCCATCTAACAGAGAAAAAAAAGGACTGTGTTAAAAAATATAGATTTTATTTTACATTAAAACACAACAATTGTGAAGGAAACTGCTGCTCCTACACAAACGTGTATTGACCTTTCTAAAGGTCATTGTCATCGTGGTGCTTACTTCAGATTTGGCAGCCATCAGCATGGTCCACACCTTCTTCAGTTTCTTGGTCTTTCCTTGCGCCTCCTCCTGCAGGCTGGTGTATTTCTCCTCTATGTCCAAACGCTCTTGCTGTTTTAGGACAGGACACCATCAGACGAGAGGGGGGAAAAAAGAGGAAGCGACTGAGTCAAAACAAAACAAACCTAACACATCTGTACTCGGGTCAAAGTTTTGCTCCACATGATGATGACAAGACTTAAAAGAGGGTAATAGGTTGATTTGAGTTGCATTTTCCAACCACGATGATGGAAAGATTTGAGCTACTGTTGTGCTCAATGATGTCATTTCCTGCAGACTGGGGATTGAGTCACACATGAGGGCAAAGGTGACATTCCATTAAAATAAATCAATCAATGTTTATAGCCAAAAATGCATTTCATTGTTTAGTCAAAAAATAACTAGAGACTTCTGTCATGTTATGGTAACATCGTCGTTGTCGTTGGTATGTGTTTTGAATGTGTGGTTTTATCTCTTAGCAATGCTGAACATGTCATAAGATAAAAACTTAGGTAGTATAACAGTGACTCAAACCCAGACTGATGATTTATTTCGAATCTAACAATAAACCGTTTCCTGTTTTCCTACTTCTTTTTCCTCCAGCTCCTTTCGCAGCTGCTCTGCTCTCCTGCGACGCTCCTCGAGCTCCTTGTTGGATTCTTCCAGCAGCTTCTCCTGCTCCTCTGCTTTGGCCAAGAGGTCCACCCCTCCCACGATCACCTTCTTCTCCAGGGCTGTCAGTTTCTCCTGCAGGAGCTGATGCTCTTGTCTGAGAGGTTAGAGGGTGATCACAGGGGTCACGTAAAACTGGCAAAGGATTTTATCCCTCAAAAAAAGAAAAGAAAAACAATAATACAACAACATACTGGGCTTTAAGCAGGTCCTTCTCCCTCTTCTCCAGCTCTGCCCTTGCTTTGTTCCTCTCCTCCTCCTCCATGTCAAGCTTAGCCTCCAAAGCCTTTCTCTCCTCTTCAATTTTGGCCTGCATCTCCACCATCTTGTCTGGAGAAACCTTCTTTTTGCCTAAAAGGGACAAGAAGGGTCAAAAGGTGTGCAGTAAAAGTCTCTTAGTTAAATATTGTTTTAACCACGTCTTCATAATTAGCTGCAGGTAAGTGCAAAGTTAGCGTTGTTGAAATATAACAAACGTCAGTATTTTTAGTACGTGGGCCAAGTTAGTTCATTTGCAAAACAAAACTAGGAATCTTGAATCTGACAGCGATGTTCTGTGAGATCCAGCAACACAAAGTTCTGAGCTGCTTTTTAGTTCAGAGCAAAATTAAAGAAATAAAGAAGGTAATGATCACACACAAAAAAAGAAAATTAATTTTGATTATAACATTAGTTAGAATCACTGGGCCCGATTCACAAAGGTGTTTATCTGCTGTCATCCATTAGAGCACTGTGTTCTCGACATACCACAGTCCTGCTGGGTCTGAAACTCAAACTGCAATCCTAAAATCCTATAAATTGATATAATTTATAAAACTATAATTTATTCATAATTTGTCTGGAGCTCATTTTGTTTTTTTAAAAAAAGATAAAAATCGTGAATCGAGTATATTCTCACCCTCAATGCACAGTAGCTTATTAATCTACGAAAATGTAACACTGATATATTATAACAACAACATTTGTGTTAACACCAAATATTATTTTAATCCATATTATTAAAATATTCCAGACACATGGTGTGAGTCACTCCCACACATTCAGTGTTAATAATTCTTTCCTATGCGTAGTTGACACACAGAACGACCCACTGTGTGTGGGGGCACCGTTGTTCCTATGCGTAGTTGACACACGACCCACTGTGTGTGGGGGCACCGTTTGTGAATGAGGCCCATTTCCAATGTGAGACACGACAGCTGTCATCAAAGCTTACGTTGAGGACTGTCACACACTAACCTCTTTCTTCTTGATATTTAGAGGCGTTTTTGCAAGTCAGCAAATTGGCATTTGCATCAGGAAGACAAAGTGAGGGTGAGAACGAGGGAGAGTGAGAGAGATAAAGAGAGCGGGAGATAGATGGAAAGTGTATGTGAGAGAGATAGAAAAAGAGAGATCGAGAGATCGAGAGAGGGAAAGATCAACATGGTACAGTGTGAGAAAGTCTCTACAGAGAAACACCACATATGTGTGAAAAAAATAAACAAAATAAATGAACAAGCTATCACAGTTATCAAAAAAGTGTAAAAAATAAATAAAACCGACTGCACTGAACGACAACCATTATCAAGGCACTGAATCATTCACCTCACAGCTAGGCCTGAAATAACTACACTACGCTGTGTTATGGAAACTTGTGATCCAATCACGGCCACATCTGAAATAGGTTTAAGAGGAGATGTTTGTCATGACGATGATGATGATGATGATGATGATGATGATGATGAGATAATACTACAGGCACATGTTTGAGTAAGCAGTGAGTGACATTTAAAGTGGTCAGGGTTCCACTGTTTACATAAACAAAATATCTGAGGTTTAACACCTCGTAAGGTTTAGGTGCTAAACTGATCTCTACTGACTTTGGCTTCATGTTGGTAATGCTGCTGTCATGGCAGTCCAGCATTTTTCCTTGTCAATGTACAATCTGTGGCAAAAAAAAAAAAGAAAAAAAAAGTGCACCAGGATCACACTATACAATTAAATGAATAAATAAATACTATATCATTCAACTTGCCAAATTCAGTCATTCCTGCCATTACTTTATTTTCAATACATCATCCATATCCATCCAATCCTTGTATATCTTTATATATATGATAATAATGTCACAGAAGTTGACAGGAAGCATTTGTACAGATAAGGGAGTCGTGCGGGGGCTGGAAAGACTTGTCGCCACTCCTTAAAAAGGCCTTGCTGGTGATTCTAAAAATGCTAGCTTCAAAGCCCAAATATCAAAAGTCAACAAATTTCCTCAGAATGCAGAGGATTAAAAAAAAATAAAATAAATAAATAAAAAAAATAAATATATATATATATACTGTATATATTAATTTTTACAGATAAAAAGCAGTTTATACCAGGTGGAGCTAGTGGTGCAGAGGGTTCCAACCATTTAAGTTTATTTTTTTTAGTTTATTGTTATGACCAGATTTGAACTGGCTACCAGTGGATGATAAGTAGAGGATATTCAAATTTTACCCTAGATAAGAGCATGCAGACGATGTTCCAGATAAGTTCTCAACCAGACGGAAGCCTCAAGTTAAACCACCGCAGCAGAGTTTACTGCAGAAGAACGCAGACGTGACAGACCACATGCAGACATTTGTACTTCATGTTCTTACCTCGTCTTCTCCTGCGTCCCTCTCCTGCCTCTCCACCTTCTTCCTCGCCTTCATCGATCTCTTCTGACCCGCTGCCGTCAGAACCCGAGATCTCTTCCCCTTGAAATCAGAATCAGAAATTAATCAGCTTTATTGGCCAAGTATGAGAACATACAAGGAATGTGACTCCAATGAAAGAAACTAGACAATAGGTTACATTTAAAAAAAAGGAAAAAATATATTTACATACCTACATATTTACATGTTACCCGTTTTGTATTTGTTTATTTATTTATTTGGTGTTGTGGAATGAAAACCAAACTGAATTTTTATATGTTTTTATCATGTGATAATTGTGCAACTCCATCAGCACAAGATTCCTGTAGCACAACACCTCCCATCGTTCGTTCAGATCAGTCAGGCAGTGGTTCTCAACCTGGAGGGTGCAGAGCTACTGTGGACCAGTACTTTCTTTAACTGTGCTACAGTGACTGGGAGTTGCTGCAGGAGACGTTTAATAGCCACTGGCTTCAGGTGATATGAAACACCAAGGCAACAATTCAACCAGGACACCAGTGAAATGTAAATGTAGGCGTAACAGGGAGTAACCACCCAACCTCAGTTCACTCCTGCCCATTACCTTCCTCAAGTTTCTTCTTCAGCTCCTCAATCTCCTTCTGAAACTGCCGCAGCAGGGCATCTTTAGGATCCTCGTTAATCCTGGCTTTGTTCTTGATGTTTTTGGCCCTGTTGGCGTAGCGCAGTGTACTGATGGTCTCATCATAGTTGTAGTCTGCAGGGCCTATGTTTGCACACTGGGCAGGAGCAAAACCAAATGTGCGGCAAAAATATTAGGATACACAAGACAAATCTTGCATAATTTGTACTGTAATTTTTCATTTGAATTTTTTTCTTAAACAGCTGGACATTTTCACATTACCATCATGGTCTTGGAGTTTCCTCCCAGTGAATCCTGCAGGAGTCGGGTGAGTTTGGAGTTTCTGTAGGGAACATGTGTGCTCTTGCCATCCACCAGAGCAGAGATCACATTACCCAGAGTGGACAGAGACAAATTGATCTTTGTTGCTTCCTTTAGACGTTGACCTGTGGCTCCAGTCTTGCCCTGCCTTTCTGAACCCTAGGCAGACAAAGAGGAAAATGATTTAATGACAGGAGGGAATATTTTAGCTCAATATTACCAGATATTGGGTTTTTTTTAGGTCTTTCTGGTCGGTCACATACTGCCAGGTCGACCAGATGTAGCTTTCCCATGCGCACATGCTGGTTTCCATCCATACCCTTCTCACTGCACTCAATTGTGATGGTAAAGATAGCATGAGAACGGGAGCTGTGTTCGTTCATGTTTGTGGCTCCAACAGAACCTGTACACAAAAAAAAATATTTAATATAATTTAAAATGTGTATTTATTATGCACATATACAAACCTACACATTTAAAAAAAATATATAGTGAATCCAGGAGCAAGAAACTTTATTTGTTGGAACGCAGGAGTCAGTGTTTTCAGTTAAAATGTGCTACTGAGGTAAAAGCTCTGCTCACTTTCTGTTCTGTATTTGTGTAATACTGAAAGATTTGTTTCTTCATGGCTTTAAATATCCTTGTATACCATTCATGTAAGAAAAAACATCTGGTTATGTGTCTTCACTGCGGTTTGGGTTGAGCTCACACCCACGCACTGTACCTCCCGATTACAGATATAATGTATGACACACTGACATGGTATTGGGACAACACCGTGTTATTGTATAGGTGTGTGCAGTGAACAGGTCACACAAAGGATAAGTTACACTTACACTCAATTTCTACTTACGGTTTTTGTGTCCCATGGTCATAATCCTGTCCATGTCATCTGCATTGTTCACCACGTAACCAGAAAGGTCTTTGATATACACACCAACATCTGGGCGCTCTTTCACCTATAATTAAAAAGAAAAACTGCTTTTTTTTAATAGTAAAACCCCGACTGACCCATAGTTCAAAATTTACATAAAGACACATTAGTTATACTATTCTGAACAAACACAGTAATTGGAATCGTTTTTATTTATTTTTTTACCTCAAGCCTTTGCAACTGATCTTTGCCCAACAAGTCTCGCACTTCCTCGTTGTAAATCTCCAGATATGAAACACGAACCAAAAACCTGGTAAAATTAATTGAGTACAATTAGAAAAAAACAAAACTTCACAACACAAACAAACATTGTTGTCTATTTTTATAGAAAAAAAAATTCTGCAGAAAAACAATTTCTAGCTTTGTATTTGAATAATACGAACAAAGTTACAAATTATGTTTCTTTGTTTTTCTACCGGGTTAGTTTTATTTTAAAACCAGGTGTTGGTTATAAATTCAAACTCTACATTAAGACTGTGGGAATTCATTCCAAATACTCTGGTTATAGTTTATTCAACTGAACTGAGTGGGACGCTGAAATAAAAAGGGTGACCCAAATATTTCACTTTCCAGTTCCATTCATACCTGGTGTCGCCCTCTGCCTTGGCAATGTGGCCAAAAACATGAGCAAATGAGTTTGGAATAATTCCTCGGAGTTCTGGCACTGCTCTCACCCCCTCCATGGTGAAGGTTTTTCCCGTGCCAGTTTGGCCATATGCAAAAATTGTGCCTGGAATAATTAGCAGAATACAAGATGATATTTGTGCCAGCTACCAATTTGTAAACTAAGCATTTAAAACAACACATTGCACAATACAAGAATCAACACTGATGCATTTTTACATCCATACAATAAACAGTTAGGCCTATTATCATATTAAATATTATCAAAGCAGCTTATATGATACAGATTCGTATTTGATACTTTAAGACAGAATATGGTAAAACACAAACAAGTTAATGCATATATATCTAATATTTATTGTAATGCAATAACCAAAATACATAAAAGTACACTTTAAGAAACCCTCTGTGTACTGTGGCACTTCAATATCACAGAGGATACAGGTTATTTCTACATGTATTAGTAAGTGATAGAGCCAATATGTTATTATATTCAAAGAACTGGTTTGATAAATTCTGCGTACCATTGTAGCCTTCCAGCACTGAGTCAATAATAGGACGCGCTGTTAGATTGTAGACATCCAGCTGTTTGCTGTCTTGTCCAAACACAGTGTCAAAGGTGAACGTCTTTGGTGGCTCCTGAGGCGTCTCCAGCCTGTTGACCGTAATGGTCCCACGGATCTCGTCCACAGTGACGGCCTGTTTGTGACTCATCATTTTCTCCTTCTGGTTTAGGGGACGACATCTCACCACCACCTTCACATTATCACTCACCTCTTGCTTGTCGGGTTTATCAAGCTTATTGCTCTGTAAAATGAAACATACATGTGGACATGTAACCATTCCTGTGATTTATTTCAATGTCATCGACCCCAGCTCACACTGAACCAATTCACAGAATGAGAGCTAGCAGATAAATTACTTAGTGGTGTATTAATACAGCTGGTGGTGTCTGGTTAGTGACACATTCATGTTGCACTGAACTACTTAGAATGCCTTAAGCCTAAAGGGAGCCAAAAATATAACAAAATGCATGAGTAAGGCAATGACACACCCCATTTTTTTCATTCAATCAATTTGATAGATGAGAAGTGAATTGCACAGCTTACACATATATCCCAACTGGCAAGCAATGCAAAAAAAATACTAAGATTAAAGCTTTGCACAATGATTTAACTGTTGAAGATACAACCCGACGATGTTTTTCGGAAAAAAAAGGCATACACAAATGTGTCCAAGTGATCAGTTCTGCCCCTTACTGGGTTGCTAGGCAAGAGGGCAACGCTAACATTAACGGCCAGCTAGCCCCGCAGCTATTTTTGTTTTTGCCTGTCATTTCAGTGATTTTGTCATAACTGTGATAAATCTGTATTTTAATGCCCCGTGTAATGTTTGAAGATGTCCGTTGGATACTTATCAGCAGCATTTTTAATATTCGGTTTACGTTTTAATATGTATCCCGTATGAAGGGCAGTTGGTAGGCTAGCGATGCTAGCCGGTTAGCATCACATCAGTGTGAACGGAGGAAGGGAGGAACCCCTGTACAAACAAACAAAAAAACAGGATAGAAACAGGAGTGTCGACCTACCGGCATGATGAGGAGTCAGGCAGGATATAACGAGGTCGCAATACGAATACAGAAATGTTTGTTAGCCTTTGTTATTGTGACAGTAGGTTATCAGAAGAGTTTAAATACCAGCGTCATAGCCATAACATTGCAGGCTCACAGCCGAGCAATCTTCTTGGTCAGTATACGCATGCGCACGGGCTGAGCGGATGCCTTCCGTAACTGTCAATAACAGGAGAGCTCTAAAGTATTGAAATGATATACTATTTATGTAATACCTTCAACAATTAAACGAAATAATTGTGCTAGATTATTCACAAGCAATTTATTATTTTATTGTTCCCAGATAAACTAACTAGACATATTTCTAATTAAACACAATTGCTAAATTGGGCAGCGGCACGTATTTTTGCCAATAGATGTCGCCAAATACTAAAGTGACAGTTTTATTTTAAAACAATTTAAATTTAAATAAAAACAAAATAAATAATAATAACAAACACCCCAAAACAAAGTAGTGTTTGCACTGAGAAAATAATCAATGAAATAATGATTCAAGTCGTTGTGTTTCCTAATAGCACAATTTATTGCCACATAAGCATTACAGATATCTTACAGCATAGTTTCTCCAAATATATTAAAATACATTTGTGTACTAAGCGGGTTTAAACAAAGGCACTCACCAATTTGTGTTAACATGGGGCAGTAAACAAGGAACAGTCATGAAGTGGGTTTTTGTGCAAAATCTCCTAAGCATATCACATGGTGCACGTGTCACTACCACGCCCACATGTTGAAGGACGCAAAATACTGTATACCCCTGGAGAATTCACCCACACTCTCATACTGTATGTACCCCAGGACAAAAAAAATAAACATCTCCCTTCCAAGATTGTCATTTGGCAGTTTGAAGACAGACTACAGAGATACAGGTGACTAGAGTGGTACTGCAGTACACAGTCAGCTGAGCCTCTCCAGGGCTTGAAGAACACTGCTGTAGAACAACCCCGTCTGCCCGCTGCTCTCATGAGTGACCAGGACGCGTCCATCAGGCCGAGGTCTGTGGACCAGGACGATCTCTCCTTGAAGCAGGCTGAGCTCGGAGTCCGTCTGGGCTAGGTGTGATGAGACCACTCTGTGCCTGAGGAAAAAAGAAGGAGAAGAGACATTTTTACACAACATTATGCCTCTAAAAGTAATTTTGTTCGTGAGATATGACTGGTAGACCGACATTAAATTTCAGCATTATAAAGGCATGACAGAAAACAACTAAGAACCACTGTGCTAGAGGGAGAGAAAGTACCACCAGTGTGCCATAGTTTTAGAACCACTGTATTATGATAGGCCAATGGTTCTCAAAATGGGGCCTGGGGCCCCAGACAGTACATGGACTGCAATCTGTATATTTTCTTTTGCAATGGGGACTTGACGACAGTTCTATCTACACAAGAAAAAAGTTTGGGAACCACCGCAGGAAGCTATTTGTCATTACGGTTTCAGTTTTATCTCACATAATTCTTTGCTCATCAGTTATTTCAAAGGTCAAACTGTAACTCACCTGCTGGGGCTGAATTGTGCTGACACAGCTGACAGTGGTGTGCATATTGGCTTTTGTAGGTTTGAGTTTAGGTCTGACACCGTTGTGTCAATGCCTTTCCGTAGGACAGGTGCTTTTCCTTCCTTCAGTATGATGCCTGGACCGTCTCTTCCCAGAGTGAGTGACGGGGCCCAAACCTCTAACAACGGAGGCCCTGAGTGACTGTTACTAGGGACCTGACTTCCAGAGGACCAGGAGGAGATTCTAGGCCGTGGAAGAGGGGAGTCGTCGTCTGTGAGAAACCGCACTGACTTTGCGGGCTGTGGAGAGTAGTAGTATTTGTCAATACTGGGGTTGTTAATCAATTTAATTTTGAAATTATTATTATAAAAATATTTTAAAAAATGAACGTTTTCACTGTTATGGAAGTATCATAAAAATATTATAAAATATATAATTGAGTTTGAAAACAATGTAGTACTGGAAAAATAGAAATTATTGTTATAAAAATATTTTAAAAAATTGAACTTTTTCACTGTTATGGGAGTATCATAAAAATAATGACATTATTTTAATGGAAATTGAGTTTGAAAACAATGTAGTACTGCGTATAAAACTCCAATCTGGCTTGATTACCTTTTCCGTGTTGGTCTTGTTTGAATCAGGTCTGACCAGGATGGACTGAGGCCCATTTGTAGCAGGTTTATCGAGCGGACCAGACGCCTCCTGTAAAGCGGCGTATTCCCGGTCCTTCTGGAATGTAGCAACAGAGGGCGCTGCGGGCTCAGTCATCCATCCCGTCATCGGCCTGCTGTTGGAGTTGAAAAGGAAGCTCCTGAAGTTTTTTTTCTGTATTGCTGGTGAGTATCCGGATGTTTGGAGTTTTGTAAAGTGCTGTGAATTGGACGGCACATCCATAGATGTATGGGAGAAGTGGTTTGATCCTGGAAAATAAACAAAGTACAAACAAAAAGGACTGAAATCAAGTTCTTTTAAACGTTCTTCAGTTTTTGACACATGGAAGAATCTTTTTTTTTTATTTATTTTTTTGGAACAATCAAGGTTATCTTCGATGTTACGTCCCAGTTAAAAGTTGACACTTGCAGGAACAAGTAAATGCGCTGGATGGCGCTAGTCCGTCAGTTTAATTAATTAAAATAGTCTTCTGCTGCTGAATGCCTTTGCATTCCGAGACATGGATGACAGAGAGGGGGAACGAGTGCAGGGGTAAAAAGCAACACCGGGTTGAACCGGGACTTTTCTGTTGCCTCACTGTCGCAGGGAAATGAAAACAGGGGATTATTCCACCACCAGACAAAAAACAGGTTCCTTGTTTGGCCTAGTCGCTCACATGTTGTTACCTGGCTGTCCTAACAACAAACACGTCACATGACGCTGGGAAAGCCTTCGCCAGAGCCCAAGAGTTCTTACACACAAATCAGAAAACCTGTGACTGAAGCTGTTATTATGACCACACTCACGAGCTCCTTTTCACAATTGTTTCACCAGCCTCACAGTATTTGTGTTGCTTGTATGGGAGATGAAGCCACACAGTAAGAAATATAATATTTATATATTGAAGTTTCCTGTTGTGAATATGGTCACTGTGTTGTATAAATATTATATATTATATTATTTTTAATTTTATTAGTATTTATTTTTCTTTTTCAGGTATTTTACCCAGGCCATTAAGTAATGAAAGCATCATCTAATCCCACCCTCATTCTTTTATTTATCTCCATGGAAGTTTTGGTCATTTCCATACTATTTTCCATTGAAAAATATTCTGTGGAGTTGACTTCAAAATTGTCCAGATCAAAGCTGAGAAACATATGACAATAAAATGTCGAAGCTGTTGGAGACGTGTTTCGACAGGTTTATAAAATCCAACAACTTAAGTGTCTTGGAACTTTTTGACTTTGGCTCGAACTAGACAACAAATGTGACGTCTTAGCACTCACCTCTGTGAGGGTTAAAAATGCGTCTGACTGTGTCCCAACCTTGCGATCGACCGTAGGCAGACGGGTTTCCGGTGCCAGAGGATGACATTCCATGCTGCGCTCCGTTTGGCACAGATGGGACTTGTCCTGTTAGCTGCAGCGCTCCATCACTGTTGGTCCTGTCCAGAGCGAGGACCCCAGCAGGGTTCTTGGTAATGGAAGTTTTCTTCCCCGCTGCCATGTTATACTGTGAGGACGCACTCGCTGCCTTGTTCTCCAGGAGTCTGGCCGAAGTTCTGAAGCGAGGGACAAAAAGTTAACAACCAGCTGCAGGTGCTTCTGGACTGTTTTATTTACTTTTTATAGTAAACTGGGTTTAAGGACGCCGTGAATTCCCATCTGGATCCTGTTCCTACATCCCTCTGATATCCTAACATCAAGGCACCAGCTAAACACTGACCACACACATCAACCCTGGGCTTGTTATGTGTGTAATTTTAAAAGCTAGCCTAACACGTTAAAATTTTACATGTTGAAAAGCTCTCTCGTAGCCTAACACGTTAAACATAGCAGTACCACTGGAGATCGTAGGGGCAGTGTTGAGCCAGTTCATGTTAGCCCGTCAGTAGAAGAGCAAAAAGAAGACAAGGACAGAACAACTTGGCCCACAAATGAACTCTGGACTTAGTGTGCCACCTTGTGGATGAATTGCTTAACAGCCATGCCGAACATGGAGCTTGCATGAAAGTATAGTATGTGTGCACTGACATTTGAAATAAATAGAAATATAGAACACAAATGAGGACTAACCAGCCTTTGGATTAGTGTGGTGAGGGTTAAGCTTGTTACAGAAGGGTCCCAGGTTTGAATCCCAACCTGGCTACGGTGTGTTTTGGTAAAAAGTCTTGTTTGTACTTTTTCAGAATTTTTCGAATTAAAAGTCACTTCAGCCAAAGGATGAAAAAAACTGCGACTTATAGATACTGTTACACAAGCCTCCAGTGCCCTCTAGCGGCTGTCAGTGTGAAAATAACAAACGTGAAATTATATATTTTAATAATATATAAGTCCTGAGTCCCAACCAAAGGATGACAAAAAGTGCAACTCACAGTCCGGAAAATACGGTATATAATGGATGTGATAAATCATTTGTATTCTAATACTCAGTGTTGTGTGTTTTCCTACTGCAGTTCAGTGTCTTGTTGCCCACATGGGTTTATTTATTTTAAGTAGGTCAACACTGTCAGGAGTTAGTAGGCAGTGCACTTGAGTCTGTGTGTGTGCTTCTCCGTCTTCTTCTAATGTCATTTACCGCCCACTCTAATCAGTGAGGAATCACAGTCTCTCACCTCAGCACAGGTGTGATGTAATTGCTGGGTAAAATTCCCACTTTGCCCGTTCTGAGGGATAACCCACGCAGCCAGCCTTCCTTAAACTTCCCGTACACCCCCACCATCTCCCCTTTCCTCAACTCCAACTCCTCCGAACGACGGGGTTTGTAGGAGTACAGGACGGCACACCTGAGGAGAAGACATAAGATATATATGTATATAAATGTTTGAGTGATGGTGTTTATTTTTCTGACCCAGCATTATTATGTCCAATCACAACTGAACACAGTGACTCACACGCTGATGGAAAGCTGCTGTGTGGAGGAGTTTCTACCGTCAGCAGTGGCGGAGGACAACTGAGGGTTCACCAGTGCCATGGATATGGTGGGTGGAGTCTCACCGGCCATCTTCTCTCTCTGTGAAGAGATTCATGGTACATTATTTAGGAGCAGGATGCTGCCACGCCAGGCAGGAATTCCTCCCAGCATTAACGGCAGCTCGTCGGCACGACGATACTTAGCACAAAGATTCACAAGACAAAACAAGCAAAGGTTCAGCTCATATAAAATAAAATAAAAAAATAAAATAAAAAAGTCATTCACGCCGCTGCAGCCAATGACTCCCTGGGAGTGACGCTGAGGCGTGCCTCAAAACCCTTGATGACACAATGTGAGGTTTTAATCACCAGTGACTTAATTACTGTTAATGGAATGGTGCCGTTCAGGAAGATGTTTATTTATTTTTCTACTCGGACCAAACAAACCCACACACAAAGCCTTCTTTTTCTCCTCTCCACCAGTGTCCATTATCATCAGTGGTTATCATCACCACTCAACCCTGCTCCTTCAGAAAACTAACGCAGGCCCGCGGGCCACGGATGTTGCATCCCACTTGCCATTAAATTGCATTTTCACTGTGACTCTAAGAAACACAAAAAGCCATAATTAGAATGCAGCCCAGGCCTGTGGGTCTCCTGTTCTCTCCTGTAAACAGGCTTCTCTCTGAGGCAGAAAAAAAACAAAAAAAACAACACAGGCGTCCTGAAGACAAAGCAGCTTTCCTTATCAAACAGGAGACAGGAGACGAGAAAACCAGTCATGTATGACTGGTTTAAAAAAAAAAAAAGTTTACATTTTTTACCTATGACTCATGTTTGGGAATTACTGTAAGGACAGATTAAAGATAACAGAGAAGAAGAGTATCATTTTTCATTTCATGTAAAATCCCTGGAGCAGAAAATGTTGTGTAATCCAAAAAGAAAAGCAAAAACAAACATGTATTTACAAGTCTCATAAATATGCAGCTTCCTTTATCACAGCAGCCAGACAAAAAAAAATATGTTAATGACTAATGTGCACATTCCACACGCAGCAGCTGTACTTGAGTGAGTCTTATAAAAAGGGTCCTCAAACACCGGGGCGGGGACCAGCACTGGGCTGCACAGAAACAATAAAAATATAAAGTTGCATTTTATTTATTTTTTTGCAAAATCTGCACAGCATTTTATTTTGGAAAAAACTTTAGTTTCTTTCTGCTCTTCCTTTCCTGTAATTTTTGTTCGTATTCATTGAGATTCATTGAGAGTTGATTTAAATTGGTTTCAAACCTTCACAAATATGATGTGGAAATTAACAGGATTAGAGTTCAGTGAATGTGGGCCAGACCCACATCACTGACCACTGACCACTGACAGCATGAGGTTCCATTCAGTGAGATTTCACTGTCAGTCACAGAACCATTAAACTCCCATCAACATCGTCCTCCTGTGGCACAGTGGAGTTTCCTGTGGTTATTCTGAGCACAGAGAGTTTCATAACAGGTTATTCTTGTCACCAAGTAAAAACTGTGACCTTTAGAGTTTATGGAGAATAAAACTTGGACGTCATTGAAAATCGATGACCCCTCTTCTCTAGCCTACATCACCTATGTGCCACAGAGCGCCATCATGAGGACAAAAAACATGTTAACAAAAAGGTCTAAACCACAACAACACGTCATCGTCAGATTAATCACTCACTGCTGGGAATCGAACCAACAATTTGCTTGCATTTTTCCACAACAGTGATTTCCCAGGACGTACGTTGAGATACCTGTATGAACTGATGGAACCAACTTTCAAGAGTTGCTCAAACTCCAAGTTCTAGACCCATGTCCAGCCAGACAAAGTACTAAAACAAAGCATAAATAATAGTCTGGAAAACACGGCATTCAGTGGATTTTAATGGACGACGGTGAGTAGTTTGTGTGGAATCTGCTGTTTTTATACAAACCCCACATTCAGTTAAAAAAATAATGTTCCTCGTCAGAAACGTCGTAGAAACAAACTTTTCTCTGTGGCATCTGTAGAATCATCTGAACTTCTGGCTCATTTCCACCGTCATTTCTGTCCTTACATAACGGTGCCAATATTCACACTAATGCTCATTATTTATCCACAGTTGGTGGGAAGCTGCACCTCTCTGTCAACCAGCCGAGCCCGAGGTGAGGGCTGATGGAATGTGGCACTAAGAATAGAGCCCAGCGTGGTCAGTGGGAAGGGTTGACCTCAGGTTCAGGGACACGGTCCTCTGTTCTTTAAAAAATGAAGCTTGTCTTCCACCACCGAGCCGCTGATGTGAAAGTGAGTGTTACCTGCTTATTGAGGAGGAAAGAGTTTGATGGCAGTGGAGAGAAAGGGGTGCTGGGGGGGTGGGGGGGTGGTCTGTTATGTAACCAACTTTAGCAGTGACTCATCATCATCAGTATGAGAGAGCGATAAGCAGACACACTCTGAGCCTCCCACTCTCGCTCTCAGTTTGCCTTCTTCCTCCTACTTCCTCTGTTTTGCCTTTTTGCAGCTCAAACATGTTTTCTGGTTCTCTTTCCAGATTTATGCCACATATTTCCCAACATTTCCTCTCACTTTTTTCCTCTTCCTGCCTTACCCCCCCTCTCCTTCTCCCCATCCCTTCCTGATACACATCTTGGTTCCAGTCTGTCGACTCCCTTCCTCTCACACTTTTCTCCAAACTATGAGATTTCCTGTGACATTCTGTACAACTGCCAGGTGACATTTGATTGAATTAAAGGAAATCATTCCCTCGAATGGCGAGGCACTTGGCAGCAGGTTCGACTCTGACACCGAGTCTTTCAAAGAAGTATTTATGTTGACATGCCACATCAGTGTCAGTGTTTGGCCTGGACTTTGTTGTGTTTTGTTGCAGCTGTTTTTATAAATCTGTTATTAAAAGCTTAATATCTTTCAAACAACTTATTCACGTTTAGCTGAGCATTAAAACTAATCTGTTCCATGTAAACTGTTGCTGCACAATACAAGGGTAACAGAGGCAGTTACAGCACAGGATGAGGTCTGTGTTTTAGCTGCATTTAAGAATTTCTTATAAAAATTGATAATGATTATATTTATATATGGCCTAACTGGTCGATTTGGCTAAAATCAAAATTAAAGTTAAAGACAGACGGAGATAAAAACTGACTTTTAAACTTTTTAAATCACATTGTTTATCATTTTAGGGAACGAGAATTTTCATCGTACTTCAGTCATCGTACGTGAGCTTCAACACTTCAGACCGCATCCCAGGACAGTCCTGTACAACACTGCTTCTCAAAGACTGGGTCGTGACCCTCGAGCGGGTTGCAAGAGATTTTTCTTTGGGTCGTCTCGCATCATGTTTCCCTGGAGTTTACCAATAAAGTCTATTGACTTGGGTCAACGATGCTGTACAACATCTGCACTGGAGTCAATATTTAACTCCATCCTGGTCTGACGCCTTTCACGCTGAAATTTGTGAAACACTGCTGTACAACATCTGCACTGGAGCCAATATTTAACTCCGTCCTGGTCTGACGCCTTTCACGCTGAAACCTCAGCTTTCTCAGAAGCCGACCCTGAAGGTCACCTTGAGCCGATGGCTTTGAACTCCCTTCTATCATTCTGATCTCACCACCGCTGCACCGCTGTGCAACTAATTGCTCACTGCTGCTGCGTCGGCCGCACTCTCAACTTGTAATTACAACTTGGGAGGTTGCATACAAGATGTCCTGAACTACAGAGCTGTTTAGAAAACCCCCAAATCGACCCTTTATGATTGTAAGGAGGGGGTCTCAGCGCAGGCCGTAATCTGGATACAGTAAACGTCCAGATAGAGCAAACTTTCAGAGTTAGCAGTTGGGATGAAAAAAGGAACAAAAAGTTCCTAGCTAGGTTAGCACAAGGGGGAAAATGTTCCTACATTTTCTTCAGTTTCTTTGTTTTGTTATTACTAATAGATATATTAGTAATAGTAACATACTAATAATATATATATAGTTAAATACAACATATAACCCGTTTTGTTATTACGAATAGATATATTAGTAATAGTAGCATACTAATAATATATAATATATAGTTAAATACAACATATAACCCAACCTATTCTATGTTAAAAGTTATACGTAGACTTGTTAATTTATATTACGTACAGTATATAATATATTTGAATGTGCGATCCGTATTATTTCATTTTAAATACATTTAAATTATATATATATTACATATATATATGTATATGTGTGTGTATATATACGTATATATATACATATATACACACATATATATATTTTTTTTTTATATTGTTCATAAGGTACAATAAGTTCTTAAAGTTTAAAGTTTAAAACAGACACACTCCCTGTGGGACTGTCTTCCTGCTCATGACACACGTGATTAACAACCTCAGATTTCCTGATTGCCCTCAACTCCAGTCACTTCATTCAACTTGTTTTTTTTTTCCTCTCTCCTACATTTGTTTCTTCCTAATGAAAAACATTTTCCGTTCAGAAGCCAAGACAAGGGCGATGCCGTTCTTTCTGTCATTCCTTAAGCTTGGTGTCATGGTTCCCTCCCTTCGCCCCCGAGGACAACTTGATCCCATTGTGTGTTAAATTAAAGCAACTATCACCGCACACACACGAAACCTGCTGTGGCCTCTGGTGTCTGCATCGTTTTTGTTAACAAACAATATATCGAAAACAGCCGAGCTGTGAAACTGCTCTGGACGTGACAACAGCACACAGGAGGACGGACGTGTCTGGGACTGACCTGTAACAGGTGTCTGTGCGAACTTTCAGAGTGGCGCTTGATTCGATGAGAGTTCACCCTGGAGGGGTGTGAGTGGCCCCTGGCCGTGGAGGAGAGGGAGAGGCGGTGTGGCTGACCGTGGCGGTGGAAGCCGTTGGTGTTGCCGACGTTGTTCGCCTCTCCTTTGGACCTTTGGTGAAAGTTGCTGGTGATTACTGCTGGTTGTTTCCGCTGGCTGGGCAGGGGCAGTGCACTGATGGGTGGTGTCTTGGCTGAAAGTTGAGGGACTCCGTAGTGGGTGGTCCCTGTGGCCTTGTCTTTGCTCCCTTTCCCTGTTGGATTGTGAAATTCGTCTGAGTCACTCTCCC